TCTCTCTCTCTCTCTTTCTCGCGATATATATATATATATATATATATATATATATATATATATATATATATATATATATATATATATATATATATATATATATATATATATATATATATATATATATAGGCCTATATATAATATGGTTTTGACTCATTATTCATCGTCTTGGGCCTAGCTATCAATGACATTACATCGATTAGGCCAATGAGAACTTGCGGGTTCTACTTTTTAGAGAAATTGAATTGAAGAGGGGGGGGGATCATATGCCAGAATGGAAATGATAAGGAATATTTGTCTATTCTTCAAAGTCGGAAGTAATTTTAAAAAAGGTATGGAGTGTGTGTGGTCTAAAATATAAAATATATTATCATAATACAAATATTTTGCACAAATATTTTTAAAAATTATAACCAATGTCTGTATGTTTTACTAAAGTTAATGATGTTGTAACGATAATAAATCTGAAACACTAGTCATAAAACTGGCATCTGGCTAACATTGACCGTACTGCCAGTGAGTAGAATAGCGCTTATTTTAATAGGTTTATTGATATTTTTTATTTAGACTTAAAATTACTTAAAAACTAGTTACATTTTTTTGTAATCAAAGTATTCTATAGTGTGTTAGCCTATATTACCAATGTATTTGTAACATTGCATCTAGTTCATTTAGATCTAGAATCTAGTTGTAGATCTACTATTTTTGCGAGTGGTTGTGGTTGAGTTGGTCATCTTTGTCATTGATCTGTGTTTGTTAGCTGACTGAAGATTGAAAAAGTTTAGTGAGTTAGTGCAGTGAGTTCATGTCATTTTATTTCTAATTTGGTGGCTTAGTAATGTTTTGATGCTGTTGTGTAGATGATTGAAGACGAATTACTTATTAATTAAACCTAGGCCTAATTTTTTAAGATTTTAAATTAGGCTAGGCCTAAATCTAGGCATTTCGACTTCCGCTGTTTCGATTCGGTACGACCACATCCTGACTTTTTTCATCGTACTTGTTGAAATTCGCCATTTTTTAACATGTTAATTCTCGCCATCGGAATCGAAGAATAAAATGTATTCGATGTGAATATTTGAGTTGAATTTCATCTTTTATACATACTAATAAATGAATTAGCTCCCGTTTTACATTGTCCGATACCGAAAGCGATCACCGATAATAGCAAATATTTGTCGAAATGCCGACGCTACCGAACTGGCGCATTGACAACTAAATTTCAGATATAAATAATCCTTTAAGTTGCATGAAAATAGGCTTAAATAGCATGCCAACCATTTGGATAAATAGAAATGTCGATTTGAAGGGTTTTTAAGCACGGGCCAATGAGGAGTAGCGCGATAAAACTCGTAGGGGTAGGAACGAGAAAGCATGCGTAATTTCATAATGGCGGCCGGGCTACGAGATATTAATAAATATGCGCATACGATGTTTTTTAATAGCTGTTTGTTTTTAAATGGACTGTTACAATAAAATGGGCTTTAAAATAAATATAATGTAGATCTAAATTATTAGATTAAAAATGGAAAGAATGTAATTAGGCCTAATTGCTGCCTAAATAAATTATAAAATTTTAAATTGGCCAGATTTTTATTAACCTTCTTAATACCAGGTTAACTAGATCTAGCAAACTAGCATTAACGAATTGCAGATAAATAGATTATAAAGGCATTGTTAAGTAGAAAAAAATCTATATTTATTGTAAACAGTTTTAAAAAAATAGAATCTAGATCTAGATCTAAATGGAAATGAAAACACTAAAACAATAATGGGTCTAGAGATGTGTAATAATATATATATATATATATATATATATATATATATATATAAACTATTAGGCCTTAATGTAAATACTGACAGGCCTATCTGTAGTATCTAGATCTATAAAGTACTATAAAGGGCCTAAATTAAAAATAATTATGCCCAATTTTATAAGCTGCACTGCATTACAGTTTTAGTTAAAGGCAACTATAATAGAAAGAAAACATGAACACTTTAATTAATGTCATTTAAGAATTTATCAAAGGATACGTCAACTTCACTAAACATTTTATAAATAAGAATACTGTGAAATGTCAATCTTTGAGTTTTAGCACACCTCAACCCTTTTCATCAGAAACATTACAAGAACCAAAATTTTCTAAATTAATAATAACATTTTTACCATGTTATACACGGACACAAATCCAATGTTTATGGCAAATCGTTAAGTATCTTGATCATATTGTGCTGTATTTGACTTGTAAGTTCTAACTCTATACATTACCTGTACAATATGTAATATACTAGCATTCTTATTACTAACACCAGAATCAATATGTAAAGTTTAATCTTTATTTTTATAGTAGCAACAAAGAAGTGTAACATATTAGCCTGTAGTTAATCATCATAGTCTAATTGCGCTGTACCATATTCAAGTTCACTATTTATAGTTTTCCTCTAGCTATGTTTATTTTACTTGCATGATTGTATTTTTTACATGCTCTAGTCCTAATATATAAAGTTTCATGATGGTATATGGAATAGCAACCTAGCTGTGCAGTCTGGAAATCCTCGTATGGCAGTCACTATAGAACAGTGCCACACCCCTTAATTTAACTTCATTATTTCTAGTTACCTCTTTTCTAATTTTTATTTTATTTGTAGACTTCTATTGCCTATATCATTGAGTACAAATGTGCAAAGTTTTATCATTATATCTTTAATAGCAACATTTGTATGCAAGTTTAAAGCCAATCACACGTCTGGAATGCAGGTTACAATGAAACATAACAAGTTAAACACATAACTTTGAAAATTCATATAAAAAAAACTATTAGGCCTAGAATGATAAATTTGATATTTTTATCAATGGGGTATATTATAGGATTAATCTGGGTCCATTTTATCATTCTATGATAATTAGGAAAAATTTCCCAATAGGCCTACCTAAATCAAATGCTTTAGGGCCTACTTTTAATACTTTTAGATCTAGATCTAGTTGGCCTAAAAAAAACTTACCCAAAATTATAAAATTAAACAGTAGGCCTAAACTAAAACTAAAAACAGTTTATATTAGTCTTTTTTAACAACACGTGTTCCCGGGCGTCCGCGCCCAGGGAGAGACTTCTTAAAATCTATAGCGATGACGGCCTGACACACTACCCGTCAGCTTATATTAAAACGAGGATATATATTTTTGTTACAGGAGTTTAAGGACTTAAAACACACAACAAAATGTCTGGCATTGCACTTGGTCGTTTGGGAGAAGAAAGAAAAGCATGGAGAAAAGATCATCCATTTGTAAGGATAGCCACCTTATTTTTATGATGCTTTAAATTTAAGTAGTTGAATGAATTAATCATTGTATATGTTACACACATCTATGATAGTGATAGATTATCTGTCTCCATAGTCAATTGTTCCTTTGTGCATTTCAAACAGGGATTTGTAGCCAAACCAACAAAAAACCCAGACGGCACACTAAATCTTTTAAATTGGGAGTGTAAAATACCAGGCAAGAAGGGAGTAAGTATTATTTCAGCAAGAGAATAGAATTTTTATTTTTGTGACTTTCAGTTTCATGCAGGTTAATTACACACATTTTTGTTTGAGTTTATCCAATTTATTGGTACTTCTTTGAATGCAACAGTTTATATTAGTCTTTTTTAATATTATCACTGACATTAAAAGCAAAATTGAAAGAACAAATCTTAATACAATGCTATCTGCAAATGTAGTCATAGGATAAACAAAAAATAATTTTCATATTGGGAAGTGTATTTTTTTTTTATAATAATGAATAATTTAAATTAAAAAATTAAAGCCTTGTATACAGACTACGCCTATCTTTAAAGGTATTGTGCTGAGTATTACGTTTCACCCAGTAATGTGATAGGATGTAGACTGTAGCATATGTTATGAATATTTGTTTTTTCATCCTACAAATACAGAACTTGAATTCTGTCTCTTTCAGACACCATGGGAGGGTGGTTTGTACATGTTGCGAATGCTGTTTAAAGATGATTATCCTAGTTCTCCACCAAAATGTAAGTATAAACTAATCCATCTTTTGATCTGTAATTTTGAAGTTATATATCTGCAGGGGTGCCACTTTTCCGGGATATCCCGGATTTCCGGATTCGAGAATCATATTTTTTTCCCTTTCCGGATTCGCAAGATTTGAGTTTGAAAATTTCCGGGTTTGCATTTAAAAAAAAAATTTAGATAGTTTTAAGCTTGAAATTTTTGGCATTGTAAAAATCGTTTTTATCGTCAACACTCCCGCTAATAGCCTTTTCCGAAAAAAATGAATAGTAAATGACGTCAGCAACAATCTCACGCGTGCGCCAAGGACCAAATAAAAATCAGCTGTATCAGATGGGTGAGGCTGTAGACGAAACTTTTTGATGTCATTCGTGGTGTGGTTGTCTGGTTAATTTATGACGATATGGGTTGGGGGTAAAACTCGCATTATTTACGTGATGTCATCAATGGGATACCGCTAGGCTGTGTAATAAAAACAACTAAAGCCTACAAGTACTAGATCAAGCTCACTAGCATCGCCGATGGTCTTTAAAAAAAACAAAAAAAAAAACGAAAGATTTTGCTCAGATAAAAAAATAATAATTTTTTTTTTGTATTTGGTATTACCAAAAGAAAAGAAAAAAACTATTTGAAGGACTATTTTATGTATTTTTACCACCTCTTACCCGCTTCTTCAAGGTCGCGCTGACCGTAAGACCTACGTCACGAGACCACGCAAGCACAGTCTGAGTCGTGTCTCACTGTCAAGGCAGTTCTACAAGTACAAGCGCTGTTTAATTTTAACGTGGTTATTTTTAATAAGGGCCTACTTCTAGATTCAAGAAAGAAACAAAACTAGAACTGCATCGTTTTATATCATTAAACAAAATATGTAGGCCTGCTATAATTTAGTTACACAATCTAGCAGGGTCTACATCTAATTGTTTTTTTTACTTTGGTAAAACGTCATTGAAATGTTTAAAAAACCTTGAAGTACCGTGTCTGAGAAAATAGCCGCTATCACTGCCCCCTCCCAACCGCTTGTAAAAAAAAAATCAGCTTTTCACTTAGTCGGGCGGCTACATCTCTGACATGAGTATTACTAGCGTAGTTACTTCTAAAATTATTTTTAAAATTAACTTAATTCTGTTATTCCGCGATATGGACTTAAAACTTCCATGATATTTCTTCACGTCATCATGTATATCAATGGTGGGGGCGTTGGGGTCGTTCATAAATGACGTCACACTCGTAAGGGGAGGGGGGGTCGCAATTTTGTCATGAGGGGGAGGGGTTCAGATGGTGTGACATCACACTTTTGCATTATCCAAAAGCTATGTTAGAAAACGAATTTTAGCCGTTATTTCGCGTTTTAGAATATTGTTTCAATAAAGTGTAATAGGAATTGATTAAAATACTCTATGTTGACAGAGGTCAGACAAGATTTTTGGAAAATATCGTATTTTAAGAAAAATTCGACTGCAATTTTTAGGGGTGGGGGGGGGGGGTGTAGGCTGAGGTGTGACGTCATTTTAGAGGGCGGGGTCTGGCTTTTTGTGACAGATATGTGACCGAGGGGAGGTGGGAGGTAAAAATCGTCAAAAAAGCGTGACATCATTTATGGATGACCCCATTGGTGGTTGATTGGGAAAACAGGGTTTTAGGTTTTTGTTGTGGCTGTTAATAATTAAAGCCTTGAATAGCTACAGTAAGTCAACCCTGTATTTTAATACAGTGACAATCTTATTAGGTGTCTGCATATAGTGCGCTTATTATTCAATAACAAGACATAGAGGTTAGCAATTGGCTGACTACACACTTTAAATCAAGCTAGGAAGTTCTCAAAAATTAAATACAGTAATGTTATAAAAGCTGGCTGGGAGGGGGGGGGGAGTTCTACAATAACACATTATGGGGTAGGCCTAGAGATGGGTGGGACTAACATTGTAAACTAATTTTGTTGTAAGCACAATCCTTTAAAGATTAATTTTTATTTCAAGCTTGTTACAAAGAAAATAAATCCATTTTAAAGGAATTTAAATTGAACATAATATGAATCAAATGTCTCAAAAAATAATGAAATAATAGTCCATTTTATTTTGAAATTCCGCGCGAAATTAAGTTTCAGGGTTTCAAAAATTTCAAATTTTAGTTTCAGGATTGGTAAAATTTTGGGATTCATTTTCAGGATTCACTTAGAAAATGAGTGGCACCCCTGTATCTGTCACTTTGGTTGTTTTTTTTTTTTTACATATTTTATTGTATTTGTTGTTTAAGCAGTTTTTATCTCTGATGTTGCAGGTAAATTTGAGCCACCTTTGTTTCATCCAAATGTCTATCCATCTGGTACAGTATGTCTTTCATTATTGGATGAAGAAAAAGATTGGCGTCCTGCAGTCACAATAAAACAGGTATACTGCCATGTGTAACTATTCAAAACAGATTTTTACCATTTTATTGATTTCAAGCTTTAAAATGTTATAAGAATTTTAGTTGTAGTGAAAATAACCAACAGCATTCAGGCAATTTTGATCTGTTGAATGGAGGTCAGCGAAGTCGGGTCGGTTAAGCTCAACGTTGCTGAACCGATAAGTCCCGAGTTCGAAACCCTGGCAGACGAGGCTTGATAGCTGCAGACAGCCACTCATCTAGGAGAAACAATCGAAAATCAAACAACTGCTGCGTTGTAATTTGTACTTGGTTGGACAAATGCTATGGAAGCAAATCCAAAAAAGCAGGCTGAAATTGGAGTCAACAGCCAAGGTGGCGCATTACCAGTTGACACGTTTACTTAATTGTGTTAGTGGGAATTCCTTTCAACACTGAAATTAAGTACGAAGAAGAAAATGAATGGCTGCTGATAGCTTATTTCATTTCAGTTTTTTGTTAGAAGATGTTAATTGTTAAGATTTGTTGAGTTAGTTTATGGAGAGATTGCTGCAAATTTTATTGTTACACTGTTTATGCTTGTACCCTCAACTTCAGACAGCAGTGTAGGTACTACCATAAGTATCAGCTCTGCTTTCTTTATAGAAAATCTTAAAACTATCTCATGCACTAGTTGTCAATTACTCTTTTGCTTGTTTGTCTCCAGATTTTACTGGGTATCCAGGAGTTGCTGAATGAGCCCAACATAAAAGACCCTGCTCAAGCTGAGGCATACACAATTTATTGGTGAGTTACCTTTGCTTTCTCAACACTAAAGAAATTTTCTTATACTGCTGATGGTCCAGCTTACTTTTTTTTTTCAATACTCTGGATTTCTCCATTTGTTCCAACTAGTCAGCCAACACAACAAAGGTAGCTTAATTCTTACTAAATGTTACTTTCAGTCAAAATCGTGCAGAGTATGAGAGACGAGTGAGAGAACAGGCTTCCAGATTCAGGGACCCAACTTCTCGATAGGATTGTCATTTAAGAACATGAGGCATTTATCCTTAGTATACTGGCCCACATTGTTACAGCTGAACATGTATAGCCTAAAAAAGATACATCAGTGGAGTTTTCTCAGTTTTTTGTACTTTTTGTCAACTTATTACTTTGAGTCATATTTTGTCCTGAAAAACCTTTATGTATGATATTGAATAAAAAGTCAATGATTACATGAATGCTTTATTTTGTTTTCTGTACGGCTCATTTTGAATGGCGCTATTGATAAAAGATTGTTTTTTTAAGTTAGATTTTTAGTCTAATATGTTTAAAATAACTTGCTATTGTATGCATTGAACATGTAAATGCGGAAACTTTATTTGGAGTGTACTCAACTTTCCAAAATTCTAATAATGCATTAAAGATATGCATACATTGATTTCTGGTGGTTCCTCTAGTTGGGGATTTTTTGCTTTGAGATAGGAGGAATCTGATCCACGAGTTTCACGGCACATGGAAAAGAAAAGCCCGAAAAAATTGCAACAGATTGTGCATGCTGCTATTTTATAAAATTTCCGCAACATACTGAAAGGGAGGAAGCAAGATTTGTTTTAAAGGCCTGGGTGTAAAAGTGACAAAAAAATGGCAAAGACCAGTGAACCAAAAGCGGTCAAGTTAACTAACAGAAATAATAAATTTTGAAGTAGCATTTAAGTTAACTATGTGCACTGAATTTTAAGTTTAGAATAGCGTAGGACTAAGAATGTAACGAGTGGTTTAAAGAGACCGAAAGAGTTAACTACTAACAGTGTAGAGAGTAAGTGCAAGAGGTAAATTTCTGCCTATCTCCTCTACCCTTCACCTCTTCCAGCACCTTCAGTAAGCTCAACTCTGCTGGAATCCAGTTATTATAAAATGATACGGAACTAATTTAATTTGTAGCTCGAGGTACCACTGTCCATATATGTATGGAGGGGGGTGGGCCGCACAGCTAAACAAACAAAATTGCTAATAGACGTAACACCTTTTGCCAGTTCAATTGATTAATTAAGAGTTTATGAGTCATTTAAAGTACAAATTAATCCCAACTATATGTTTATATATATGATAAAATAGGCTACCGACAAAATGTTTTACGACTATGTGTCTCCCCAGAGACGTGGCTGGAGGAGGGCTGATGGATTGGCCGACCTTGGGGGGGGGGGGGGCGCCCGGCTACTGAGGAGTATTTTAATAAAAACCACATGGGAGCTGCAGTATGGTTAATGCAAATATAGTAAAAACAACGGGTAGCGTTGTAATTTAAAACTTGTCTCCCTGTAAAATAGAATTCATAGTAACTGCAGTATCATACTTATGTCAGACTAATGGTTGATGTTTAGCCAATTTTTAAGTAACCACATTTTTTAAAAATAGCCTACTCTTTATTATTTTCGCTAAAATTATTAAGATAAATATGAACTCGAAGTGAGACCAATTGATCAAGCTTTAAGAAAGTTGTATATTCTCCCCCAAGTGATTTATAGGGTAGTGAAAAAAAAAGTTGAACAACTTGTACAATTTTCAAAGAATATAAACGTTTGTTTTTCAAAATTATATTGAAAAAAATAAATACTATTGGTCACAAAACTCTAAGCAAAGTAGCCTAAAGTGTCCAGGCAGGGGCGTAGCGAGGGGGGAGGCGGGGGTGCGGACCGCACCGGGTGACACCATTTAGGGGGGTGACACCAAGGCAAAAAATAGCAAAATATATAGAGAAAAACTTGAGGGGGGTGCAAATCGAAAGTTTGAGGGGGGGGGTGCAAATCGAAAATTTGAACGTTTGTCCCCGGGTAGGGTCGCTACGCCTCTGGGGGGGGGGGGTGACACCATTAAGCGCCGCACCGGGTGACACCCGACCTCGCTACGCCACTGTGCCCAGGCCTATGCGCTAATTATCAGATGTAGGCACTTTTTCCTATCAGATACGAAAATGAAATATCGCCTGTATTACTGTTGTCGGTTATCTCTATAGTGAAACTGAACAAAAGTCGCGTTACTTAAAAATGACACGTAATAGTTGTTCTTCCCGATTCTGTCTTTGCAGTAATGACAGTTCTAAATGTCTACAATCGATCTGTTCTATTTTTACCCATAACTTTTCGTTTTACACCTTCTCGAAAAAAAAAACCCCAGTTTTCCTAGAACTTGTGTGTTAGTTGGTGTATACATATATGCTGTTTTGTTGATTCGTGTACACAGTTGTTTCAAAAAAAAGGTAAATCAAATTTATTAATGTTATCAAAATATTTCTATAGCCTATATAGACAGTTCTAAATGTCTACAATCGATCTGTTCTATTTTTACCCATAACTTTTCGTTTTACACCTTCTCGAAAAAAAAACCCCAGTTTTCCTAGAACTTGTGTGTTAGTTGGTGTATACATATATGCTGTTTTGTTGATTCGTGTACACAGTTGTTTCAAAAAAAAAGGTAAATCAAATTTATTAACGTTATCAAAATATTTCTATAGCCTATATCTGCTATAAAGGCTTATGGGTGCTATAGTCTAAACAACATTTCATCAAGCAAACAGATTTAAATATTACAAGTAAATCTAGGCCCCTGACAACAACCTGTGAATGCCGTACAAAGCCACTTCAATTTCAATAACGCAGTAAAAGCAGTACCAATGCCGAACTGTGGAGAAAAAACTGGACGAGGCTCTATTGGCAAAGAAATACAAAAGCGCAAGTGGGGAGGGATTAGACACACCTTGCGTAAATCACCTTGCAACATCACCAAAGAGGCTCTAGATTGGAATCCCTAAGAAAAGAGAAAAGTAGTTAGGCAAAGAAAAAACGGAAAACGTCAGCTGTACGAGAAACACAAGCAGCCGGAATGTCTTGGACCCAACTTGTACGAATTGCCCAAAACCGAGTACGATAGAGAGGTGTGGTCGCGTCCCTAAGCTATTCGTGGGGGTCTGCATGAATCAGAGTTTCTTCCAGACATCTCTTCGGGGGAGGGGGGGGGCGAAGGCGAAGGCCCCCCCCCCCCGAACGAGATGGAATTTATATAGTAAACATACACTTTTACTAGTGTCCGCCCCCCCCCCCCCCCGAAAATATCAAGTGCACCCCCCCCCCCCCGGAGAAAAAAGTCTGGCAGGAACACTGGCAGGAATGATGATGATGATAACGCAGTAAATCTGTTGGCTACTTTTTCGTTAGTTGTATTTTCTATTCCCGTAATCTTATGCCTTTAATCGACGATAGGGTTGTAGAATTCTGGTGTCGGTGTGTAGATTTCTAAATATTAGAAGTGTTTAATTTATGTGTGAGCGAGCAATCCAACACCTTTAATTCATATAATATTTTTAGAGTTTCTTCTATGATGTGTAGAGCATGGTCGGACGGTAGAGCTTACGACTCGAAAGTCTCGAGTTCGGATCCCGAAATCGGGTGTCGCTGAGTCCACCCAGCTCAAATTTTCTGCCATCTGTCTCGGTCCTCTGCTGATCTGAGTAATTCAGCATCAATGAATAATAGGCCTACACAGTCAAAATTAAGATGTATTGCTACTTGGATTTACAGACATAATTAACAGTGTGATACCAAATTAAAAAGTAACCACCAAATAGGCCACCAAGGAAAGAGGTCTCAGATTTTTGTGACGAATGTTATTTGGATTGGAGTATAAAGAAAAGTGACTGAATATAATCTACGCATTTTGTAATTCTTCAAAATTATCTTCAATTGTTATTTTAGGGAGCGAGGGGTGTGAACGTTTGTGATGTCATTTTTGGGGGATTAGTTTTTGGTAAATATAGGGTGTGTGAGGGGGGAGGGGGTGTAAAATCGTCAAAAAATGTGTGGCGCCATTTAAGGAGGGTCAGTTAAATTTGGTTGACGTTGCCAACTGTCTCACATAGCTTGATAAGAGATATAGGTTGGGGGGGGGGGGGAGTTGGAGTAGGTCCAATACAGTTTTCAAAACGTATATTGCAGGCCACACTACGATGTCTAGTACAGCACTGGGTCGTCTGGCTGAAGAAAGGAAAGCATGGAGAAAAGATCATCCGTTTGTAAGTGGCCGTGTGCAGTACTAGATCTCAAAGTTTAATTTATTGTATAAAACGTTCTAAATGTTTGACCATGCACATTTGTTTTTATCCAGGGTTTTGTAGCGACACCAACCAAAAATGCTGATGGTACTATGAATTTAATGAAATGGGACTGTAAAATACCGGGGAAGAAGGGAGTAAGTGTTACATCTGTTCTTTTTTTTATGAGGATCACACCAATGTTAGATGATAAAGAAATCCATGCACGATTCCAGCTTTTTACTGTGGGTGGGGTAATTATAATACATACATTATATATATATATAAATATATATATATATGTATATATATATATATATATATATATATATATGTATTTATGTATATATATATACATACACAACTCACTCTTATATCCCCACACGAATATAGGACAAAACAAACAAATTTATATTATGCATATGTATACACATGCATATACTATACATGTAACATTTGTAAAAAAAAAGTACATTATTTGCATTCCAGAAAAGAGGTGACAATGTATTTTGAAGTACTATGTGATCAATTGATGGATATTATTTTTCAGACATCATGGGAGGGTGGTCTCTTTTCCTTGAAGATGACTTTCACAGATGCGTATCCAAGTGTTGCACCTGAATGTAAGTGTATACATGTGCTAGCTAGAGTCTTTACATTAAAATTACAACTCCATGCATTATTTGATATATTATTGTAAAACTTATAGATCTACCCTGCCAAAGAGAAAATTTTAATTCTTTGGTAAAAAAAAATTGAATTTTTACTTTTGGTTACACTGTCACAAGAAATGTCTACTTTAATTTTATTATTTTTTTAAAAGGTACATTTCAACCAACAATATTCCACCCAAATATTTTTGCAAACGGGGTGGTTTGTCTTTCATTGCTGCGTGATGCAAATTACTGGCGAGAGGCAGTGACCTTAAAAGAGGTTGATTTAAAAAAATTGCATTAAGATTTAACTGTTAACAATTAGAAATAAATTAACCTGATACATATTTAAATAATTTCAACAGACAGCAGTAATAAATGTTTGTTCTATTAGCATTCTTTATTATTCTCCTAAATTAAATTTTTTTAATTTGATTTTTTAAAATAAAACTACATGTTCTATTTGTAATTCCTTTTATTTGCTGAACAAATAACTCCTCAGATTCTTTTAAGCATCCAAGATCTTCTAAATGAACCAAATCCAAACAGTCCAGCAAATCGTGATGCAAATATAATTTATGTGTAAGACACAGAAAATACTATTTTATTATTCTTTTAATTTCTTTACTGTCCAGTCATTTTGCATTTAGATAGATCATACCACTTTTTGGCATTAAAATGTAATAATTTGCATGTGACTTTAATTTTGGATTATTAACCTAACATGTAAACTATGTTTCAGTCAAAACAAGGCAGAATATGAAAGGAGGATTCGGGAACAGGCTTTACAGTTTAAAGATCCTAATCTTAAATAACTTTGATACAATAAGTAGTAGTGAGTCACTTGTGATATTAAAAAAAATCAAGAAATGCCATTGCCTAATAAGAAAATTTTATATTGTTTTAGTTAGACAATTAGTAATGCTGTATCGGTTTTTCTATTTCATCAAAATATACTTTTTTTTTTACTGTTAAGATGTCCACAACTGTGTAATAATAATACCAATATTTAAGTAAAAATTGTTTTATAGTCGTCACATGAAAACACTTTAAGATTTTCATTATAAAGTAAATTAACAACACTCAAAACAAATCATGAAAATAACGGTTATTCTTCATTAACATGATTTAATGTTAAATGTGATGCAAAAAATATTAATTTTTGAAAATATGAAGTAAAAAAAATAATGGGTGCCAGCACCAGTTATTGTGAACTAGTTTCTTGTATATTAATAACAGTTTCTTCTTCTCTGTGATCAGCTTCAGAGTTGATGGTAATTACCTCCTCTTGTTTGACTTCAGTTGTCTCTTCTTGAACAACATTATGAGTAATTTCCCCTTCTGTAAAAGAAGTGGTGATGTCACCTTTGCCTGCAGCCCACAAAATGTCTTTAATTTTTTGTAAACTGGTACCCCCTTCATCAGACATGAGAGAAGGTTGGTGGTCCCGCACTAGGTCCACAATAGACTTGTCTGCCACAATGATGACAGACTCTCCAGTACTGGAGTCATAAATTTCTAATGTCTCTGTCTCTTGGTTCTGTGGACAGGGAGAGATAAGATTAAGAACGACATCAGTATTTAAGTACAAAATATTTTTAAGTCAAGAATTTTTCAAAAACTCAAATCTGTAAAAGCTATGGAAAAAAAAATTAATTATATCTAAAAAGAGATTATGCGAAAAATTCTAATCCAACCTCATTTGTTATGGTTTCCTCTGTAGTTGTCATGTTTTCTTCAGTAACTATTTGATAGTTTTCCACCACTTCCCCTGTCTGTTCTTCATTTGTTTGTAAAATCACATAATTTTCTGTAAGCTGATATAGTAGAAAAGTGCATTAATATATTGCCAACAATTTTCTGTTTTCAATTTGTACTATAGAATAATATTTTATATGTAGACCTACTATCATTTTATTTACTGTAAAATTTTCATTTAATAGAAGTTACACAATTTTTTAAATTAAAAAATATTATAGTTATTACTGGTTATTTAATTAATTTTTTAACCATAATTGTTTTATGAACAGGGACAAACTTTTACATCATGTTTGTCAGAGTTATGTAGAAGATTGAAATCAATAAAAATTACAAGCATTGCATATATATCAATATTGCCAACCGTTTAACCCTTGATTTTTCAAATTTAAATTACAGTTTATTCTAGCAGCAAAAAAAAAAAAAAAAAAAAAAAAAAAATTCTATGGAATGAATACCATGAGAAATGTTCCAAATTTTTAACACCTTGAAAAACTGATTTTATTTTAATGTGTTGTCCAATTAAAATTGTTCAAATAAAATGTTGGTCACTCACCTCCTGGTCAGTAGACAGGACATACTGGTTGCATGAGTCCACCTCAGGCAGGATGTAGTGCTGGGTGTCTGCGACCATGGAGGAAAACTGGGCCAACATGGTGCCATTGTTGTCATGACTTGTGTCCATGTTGTCAGCATCACGAGTTGCGGAACATGGAACTAAATTAATTAAACATAAGTAGTTTCACAATCTTGCAATCTAAGGACCTAAATTAATTAAAATTATTTTGCTCCACCGCTTACAATATAACGAAAAAAAATTGTTGATATTTTAACCTGCTGTTACAGTTTACATACAAATTTTATTTCAATACACATTCCAATAATTACAATGTATTATCTTTATTCCTATATTAAGTAAAATGCTTATTAATATTTAAAAAAGAAAACTATAGTTTAAAAAGAAGTTTAATAAATTTGACCTTATGGGGCTTAAAGTTAAAATTTGTGTGATCAATACAATAAAAGTAAAGTTTCCCTTTCAACCCTGACGGTCTATTGGGCAAGTGAAGTAGAGTTCACTTGTTTCGATGCCCTCGACATATGAAGAGATAGTGTGGTCAGCACTATGCCCAGCCGCCTTTACTTTCCCTAACGTGAGTTAGGTACCCATCAGAGTTGGGTGGACTCAGGGACGGTCTACTGACTTGAACCTAGATTCGAACTCGAGACTTACGGGTTAGCAGTCCAGCTCTCTACCGCTAGACCACTCCGTCGCTTGATCAATACAATGCTTAGCTGCTTATGCTTTTCAAGATGTTTGACAAGTACTCATAACAGCTGAGTGAACTCAGACAGAAACAGATTATTATCAAGTTTTGCACAACTCTGATCCTTCAATATTAACAAATCAAGCCTCTACCACTCAACTACACCAGCAAAACTTGCATACAGAAGAAGCTTGACAGGGGACTTACTTTTAGCTTTGAGATGCCTGGATAATGTCCCTTGCTCAGCAAATGCTCTGTGACAAAGATGGCACTTAAATGGTTTTTCTCCTGTATGTTTCCTCATGTGCCTCTGCATGGCTCCTCTCTCACGGAACTGGCGACTACAAACTTGGCACTTGTAAGGATTGATTCCAGAGTGGGTTCTCAGGTGGACTTTTAGTGAATACTATATTGTTAGAAAAAAAAAATGTTTAATATATAGGCCTGCATTTAATATATACATTGTTGATAACATTAGAAATAAAAAGAAATGCAAATATAATATTTAATTAGTGAAGATATTTGGACAAGCTCTGTACATGTAAGAAAGTGCTATGATTTTAAAAACAAACATGTTGCTGACAGCCTTCAATGTGATTTTGGCACAGAAGAGTGGTATGATGTGTACCCTAGAAACCCCTATATAAAGAGGAATCAGAACTGTGCACTACACACTAAACACCTACACAAAAATGTGCAGACTTCTTAAACATCAGTGAGCTCAGTATTTGTTATTTAACTTAAGCAGTAGGGAGTTTAATAATAATGGTTATTAATGACATACAAAGTGTGTGTAGTCTGGGATTATTAAAACATTTTAAGCGTAATGAAAATAAATATGAGCATTGTTCATTTAAACAGTACCTGTGTTTTAAATGTTTTTTCACAAATGTTGCAACGAAATGACCGATCCAACGAGTGGATCCTCAGGTGCTGCTGGACGTGTATAATTCTTTTAAACATCTTGCCGCACTCTCCACACTTGAAGTTTCTGTTTTCTGTGTGCACATACATGTGTTTCTTCAAGACGTCGCGGGATGTGAAACTACGATCACAGTAGTGACACTGGTGTGGGCGGTCACCTGGAGTTGAGAAAGTCATGGCATGAAATTCTATGAAATGTACAGTGCAAAAAGTGTCAGCATATAAACTGCTACCAGAATTTTTTTAATAAAAAAAGAATTTCAGTAAAAATATTTTAAAAAGATATTTTAATCAAAATATTTTCTTGAAAAATTTCATTTTCAATAAGAATTCTTGTTACTTCTTTAATCATATATCATTTACGTAATTTATCTCTAAAAAATGTATTAAGTTAATTTTACTAATGTGAGATAAACCAGCTGCTGAACTACCTGTATGTATACGCATGTGCTGTCTCAGATAGTTGCTGCCCTTGAAGAACCTGTTACACACCATACACTGCAGTGTCCCTGTGATTGATGGCCCTGGTTTGTCCAGTTCTGATGGTGCCAAGTTCATCCTCAAACTGTACAATTGCTTCACTGCTGTTAAGGCATCCCTACAAAAAAACATACTCTCTAATTAAAACTTTTCAAGTTATAACATCCTAGAAAAATTAAACTTTTTAATGAAAAACTGATAGAGATTACATGGTTTAAAAATCAATAAAAAGTAACCTCACATTTGTGAATTTCTATTTTTATACACTCAAGTTACCTTAAAACAGCTTTTTTATCTTGCATAGCTTCCCCTTTATTGTTACTGGCATCATTCTCCATTGCTAACACACTGGCTTCTATATCCTGAAATAGGATTCATCTGCTTACAGCATACTATTCAATTTGACATTTCAAATTAATGTGTAAAAAACTATTAGGAACTCTAACATCTATCTATAACAATATGTATACTTTGTATGACTCATTAAGTCCCAGAAATAGACTCCCCACTATAAACACACCTTTCTTTCCAACACAAACCACATTTTAAAATTCATAAAATAAGTTATAATTTTAAAATAAGACTGAAATTTGTTTTTATTTAGCTTTTATAACTTTCTAAAATAGCTTTAAAAGAAAGCAACATTGTTATTTAATGATCCATCGCGGTCTGTCCATTTAGTACTCACATTTAATGAATCACTATGCAGTGAAAGAATGTGCTTCCTCAAATCTTCATGATCATTGGATAAAAAGTGACAAAGTCCACATCTTGAAGGCTGATCAGCCAAGTGACTTCTCAAGTGAATTTCTAAACTTTTCACAGTTTTCAAATCTTTTTTACACACCTGTAAAACAAGCCAGGAGAATATATTAAGTCAAGCCCTTCATTTAGTCAATGGATTAATCTGTTCTATCACAAAGTATCACAATCTTTAGAAAAACAAACTATAGAATTAAATTTTAACATAGTGTCAACAATAGTTTTAATGTAACTAGTTTGCCTTAGTCCAATAGCAACTTATATTTTTGGAGTGATTTTGTAACTAAAGAAGTGTACATTTGAGCAGTGAGCAAGTAGTATTCTAAAAATCTTTTACTTGCAAAGCTCATAAACATTTTAATAAAAATCTCACTAGGGGTAATTTATAGATGATCTCGAGCAATATTTTGTGTATGGGTGTGGGAAGTTAAATAAACCGGGAGTGATCTCCCCTAAACTTTCTCGAATATTCTTATATAAAATAACAGGGGATGGGAACTCGGGCTATAGACATGATTTTTAATCCATTTTAAATACTTAAAGTTTTAAAAATAGAATAAAATCTCGTAGACAAATTAATTGCACACCAAGTGAACGCGAATAAAAAAGCGCATAATAGTGCGCAATATTATTAGTACTTTTAAAATTTACATTAGTTTTTTGAGAAATCGGAAGTAGCGTAAATAAGTACTTCCGGTCAACGAAAAATTCTCAAAATTTGACAGAAGGTAGAGAATTAGACCTGTTACTTACATATCAAATTTCATTTATCTATCTGAAATAGTACTCAAGTTATAGGCTTTTGAAAAATTCAAAGTAGAAAAAGTACCACTTCCGGTTATCCGAAATCGCTCAAAAGTTGATACGGATCTACGATTTTGATAAAATACTTATATATGAAATTTCATCAACCTAGCTGTAACGGTACTCAAGTTATCGTGTTTACACACGGACACACACACACACAGACACACAGACATACGGACAGAATTGCAAAGCCCAGTTTTTCAGACTGGAATACGCATAAAACCTTTTAATTTTGATAAATCTGGATTGATAATTTTTGCCCGATTAAAATAAGTCCTCTATACTTCGGATGTGATGAAGGACTGAGGTGTAATACGGTGAAAATAGTTAAAATTTCAAGTGATTTTTGTGCACGATTACAATACTTTCTCTATACTTCGTATATACGAGAAAGTAAAAATGTAATGTAGCATATATTTTCTGTAACAGTTAAATGTAGATGAATGTATGTTTTGAGTGTGTATCTTACAAAGGCTATATGAATATAAAATATAGGATGTGTGTGCGCATGCGCTAAGGAAAGGAAGCAGAGAGAGGTAGAGAGAGCGCGAGGAGATGACGAAACTGAAGCCGTGGTTCTAGTAGTGTAGCTGCTATATTATCTGATATCAATAAAAGACTGTAAAATCACCAATAATGTGGTTTGTATTTGCCTTTAGTTTGTGCCATGAACCCAGTCATAAAAAAGGGCTGTGACATTTTCTTTATCTTAAAAATATAAGATGGAAATCATGTAAAATTTTCTTAAGGATTAGTGTTTAGGAGGTGGGTATGTGGGTTCAAACTTGATGATGTCATTTTACAGTAAGAGAGAGTCATCTAAAACTGTGTGAGATTATTTATGAACATTTTGTACTGCTCGACAATCAATCTTACATGGCACTGAGACTCTTTCAAAAGTTCCACCTCCACAATGTCCATGAGATCCGAGTCTATAGCTGTGCTGTGTTTCAAACTTTCCCCAATGGCAGCTTCCAGCTGTTTTCCCTTGGGTCCAGCACCAGGCAGGGACACTGCAATAGTTGCTTCCCCTGCTGTTTCAACAGCATCAACACTGGCAACATCCGCAGTGACTCCGCTGGTGCTAACCACTTCATTTCCTGCTAATGTGTTTACATCATCTACAACAGCACCAGCATCCCAAACCTGCACACAGAGATAAGAGTTTGTTAATGGGAGTCCTACCTGCATCAAACTGTAAACTGTCATTATTAAATAAATTAAAAAAAAATTTTTTTTACTAAATATGATCCTCAGTTTGTTTCATTTTGCACTATCAGTTATTCCAAGATTGAACCAAAAGTATATAGATATATATTCATTTTAAGATTTATAAGCCTGTACTTTTGATGGACTATTTTTTTATGGTGTGTCCAAATATTAAGTTATAATACAATAATTCCACAAAAATCTAAATTTTTCTCAGAATCACAGCTTGTAGATACTGAGTATAATTTGCCAAAGCTCAGAGACAGATTCTTTTACTGCTTAGACCCATGGGATCAAAATGCATACTGCTTTAAGATTTAATAAATAGGTTCCAAATAGATGTTAATACAAATAGCTAACAAAATAAGAAATGGCCACTATCTTTAAATTGAAGAAATAATAATAGTACAAGAAAATACACAATATCACTATCATAACTTTTTATATCAAAGAAATAAAATTTAGTACAGAAATAAGACCACACCTGATTGACCACTTTCTCAAGTGCTGGTGGCTCCTGGCCAGCCAAGTGACCTTGGGTTATAACAATTTGTTTAATGCCCCCCTCCACATGGGGTGAGCTGATGGTTGCCGTGACAACACCCTCTCCTCCTTCCTCAGTCACTATGTAATGGATGTCCTCTTTTTGGTTCTCAAAATCCATGACAAAATTCTTGGTCCCATTTGCGCGTACTGACCGCTGATTGGGGTCCACAACAGCTGGGATGTTAGGGTGGTACGTCCAGTTTTTCATGTATCTTGGGTAGGCTGATGTTGGAGTTTGTGAACAGTTGCGGCTAGAGAAAGAACAAAATCAAGCTAAAGGAAAAAAGTTAGAGAAAAAGATGGACTAACCAATAGTATGATTAATTTAATGACTATTATTACTGTAATATATAAGTAAAGTACAAGCTAAGTTCTCCTTTCAGACCTAGTGATCCATATGGCAGATGAAGTAGAGTTCATGTTTCTTAAGCTTGACATATGAAGGGATGGTGTGGTCAGCACTATACCCAGGCTTCTTTACTTTCCCTAACATGAGTCAGGTACACATCAGAGCTGGGAGGACTCAGGGACATCCTGCTACATTAAGTTCAGACAGAGATCCAAACTCAAGACATTACTGTTTGCAGTCGAGCACTCTATCATGTAACATACAAAAACTATAAGCTTAGAAGTGAACAAACCGAGCCTTCAAGTGACGTGTCAGGGCCCCTGATTCTGTAAACGACCTTCCACATCGCTCACATGCAAAAGGACGTTCTCCTGTGAAAATATTTTGATTAACCACACAGATTAACATTTAATAAAAAGCACAATATTTTGGTTTTGTTGAGAACTATTTATCCAGCTACAAGCTATCATAAAAACAATGGTGGTGGTCTTTTATCAGTTTAATATTGTCTGTTTTGAGTATTCAATTGAAATATAAAGACACAATTAAAATGAGAAATATACCATACTGAGATGCTTAACAATAAGGAAAAGAAAATGCAGCAAAATAAAAGATCAATAGCTGGCCAAAACTGTAGTAATGGAAAAAATGTTGCCAGTTATAAATTATGCTCAAAAGAAAAATCAGCTACTGATGAAGTGCTGGGAAAGGTTAAATTACTAAGTGTTAACACGATGCAGATAAGTTAACTGTATCAAAAACCTGAATGGAATTTTATTAACCCCACAGTAGAAATGATTAAAAAAGCTTAATTTCATTGTTTCTTTCCTTTTTTTAAAAACATTTTCAACTAACCTGTATGTCTTCTAGTGTGACGTACCAATCCACCTTTTGTTTTGAAAGCATATGGGCAGTTTTCAAAGCTACAAACAAATTTCCTTTCATCTGAATGTACCAATGCATGCACTTTTAAAACTGTCAGCTGAAATAGTACAGATATTTTTTTCATTGGTAGACCTATAATACTGGTGGAAAACATAATCAACACTCACTGTTCAACATCTATTTGAAATACTTTCAACAAAAAGTTTGAAAGCCTTGCCAAAACAAATCCCATTTCTACCTGCTATATTTTAGCTTACCTCTTTAAAGCTCTGGCCACAAACTTCACAAGAAAATGGTCGCTCTGTAGTTTCATTTTTCCTATCTTTCAATTTCTTCTGCTTGGCTTCTGCTTCGTAACCTGTTTTCTCAGAGTCCTGGGCTTTTTCTTGGTCCTGGTGGACCTCTCCTAGTGACTGCTCAATAATAACATGGATCTCTTTTTTAGGTTCAATGTCGTCATCTTTTTCTTCATCTTTTCCCTCAACTTTGAAGTCTTCATCTTTAGCATCTGATTCTCCAATTATCAACTCATCTTCAGAATTTTCTGATTCATCAGCTTTATCTTTGTTTTTATGATCGTATGTCATATGCCATCGAAGAGTCGCCTCTCTATTATGGAGTTGAATGAGAAACAGAAGAATAGTTTTTAGTTACTAAGAATTCACTTTATATTTTCAAATGGTCACAAAACATGCAATAGCATGCTATGTCTGGCTGATAAATATTCACAAAAGAAGGAAATAAACTATTGTTTTATGCATTGTCAGTAGAAATAATTAGTACTTAGTTAAGTAAACTAAAGGGTCTTAAACAAATTAAAATATACAGAAGGGTAAAATGTTGAAAACAATACATGATCAGTATCCATTAAATAAATAACAGAACCATACAAATGGTGAGAAACATTGTGAGATATGTCACTATATAATATCTTGTTATTCTAGAGAAAAACTATTATAGTAGAACAAGCAGTATTCAAGTATAGTAGTATGAACCTTTTGTAATTGTCAACATAAAGATTTACCTTCTGAATTTCTTGTCACAAAGCTTGCAAATATAACTATTTTCTTCAGGCACAACTTGAATTTCAGCTACTGTTGATTTTTTCTTTCTCCCTTATAAAATAACAATAACAGTAATTAACATGAACTCTTTCAGCATCATCTTCAAGTGATGTAAGCTTTATACACATTAACATTTATATATTAAAAATTAATTAACAAAATTTGTGGACCACTAATTTCAGTACGTAAAACAACACATGAAGTTTTAAACATTATTAGTATTAATTATCTAAGAAATTATGTATTTCATATTGATGACATATAGGGTGTAATTAAATAAAAAAAGGTGATCTAATTAAGACCATACCTCTTTTCTTTGGCAAGCATTGATTATTTAATGGCTTTGGTTCAGCTGCCATTGGAAGAATGTCTGTACTATCTTGTGGCTGTTGTTCTTGTTTAACAAAAACTTCTGGCAACGATTCTGAAGGTTCTATGTTGGCTGAGGTTTCTGTATGATCTTCATTTTTTTGTTTTTTGGTTTTTCTTTTGCCTTTTTGTACAAGTCGAGGCAAAACCATTCTTTTATCTGCCTTGGAGCGTATTTGTGCAATTCTGAAGTTTTCATCTTTGACTTTATGCTCCAAATACTGAGGCAAGTTTTTGAATATTTTATTACACTTCCTACAGAAAAAGAAATCATCTTCACCCCCAAATTCAGGTTCATTTGCTTGATCTGCAACTGCAAACAAAAGAGTTATCTTTAAAATTATTAATTCCAAAAGATTTGAGTCTTGAAAAAAACACTTAGACAATCTAGAGGACAAAATTAATAGAACACTGTTAGTAAATGTTAGTGAGTAGGCTACTGCAGTATGATGTATGGTCATGGACAGTGTTTCCATTTTACATTTTTTTTCTCTAGGGGGCACTTGAAAATTTTGGGATGGGGAGGGGAGGGGGCAGACTTAAATTTTTAGGGGGATGAACCCTGGTTAAAGTATATAATATTTTGTAGGCCTATATCACTTATATTTCATTTGAGGGTGGTGGGGTGTGTGAAAAAGAGGTGTTTGATAGAAACTCTGGTCATAGCATAGATAGAGGAGTACTATTATATTATATAGTATAATTATACTAGTATTATCACAATGGGTTTTTGTGTGTGCAGGTATCAAAGTATCAACTGTTTTAGTGTTTGGGGTTAGGATTCAGTCAGGTTTACTTGATACAGTTAAAATATAAATATTAAATATTCATAATATTAATATTCAATAAACTGAACATGCCATTGGCATATGAAACTGATCTAGATCTAGTATGAGTATTTTAAGTATTAGATCTAGTATTAGACTAAATCTAGATCTAGTAAGATCTAGATTTTATTCTAGATCTAGATCTAGTCTAAGAACAGCTAACCGAGCTATATCTACTTTTTAAAGTATTTTTAATTTTTTCTTTCATATTTTTAAATATTTTGTTTAGCTTTCGAACATAATACATTGGCCCATATTCCCTCTGATGTAGAACTGTTTTCGATAGTTACAAAAAAGTTACTTTGTTATTTAGACAATTTTATAATTTGTATTGCTCTTTTTTTTCTTCAGATCGGACTACAAAAGTAAAGAGATGAAATTTTATCTTAGAAAAGTGGGCGTTACCATCAAATTCGATGAGCGATACATTGTTATCAACAACAGGGTTGTTGTCGTTCTCCAACTCTGTCATTTTCCGACCTCTGGTCTATTCGACGTAAAATTAATAAAATGGTTGCCGTTTGAACACAACATCGCGTTAAACGTGTTAATACTCAAATTGTTTTGTTTTGTTTTAAATTGAAAAAAAAATGATTATAATACTTTTTTTTTCATCTGTTCATTAAATTTATTGAATTGCATTTTAGGCAATGCCCCATGATATAGAGTTAAGTTTTAGGACTAGTTTTGTGTTGTATTGTTTTGTATAGCCTACTTGCCGCACTCCAGATTTCTATATTATTCATATTGAGTCAAATCTAGATTTAGATCTTGTAGATAGCCTAGCTTATTCATTATTGCATGCATAAATACCAAAATAAAGTGTCGTATACGTTTTACATATCTGAAAATTAAGTTAAGAAGAAAAATGTCGTTGCCCTGGAGATTTTAGAGCTAAATACTCTGAATAGGCCTAATACTAATAAATAAGCAAATAAACAGTGAAAGTCTTTTAGGCTTTATCGCCTTTATAGCTTCTTTTTAAGTCTTTATTAATACTTGGGTCTAACTCTTACTTAAGTCTTTTATTTGTTGATTTCAAACATGGGTTTTTAAAAGCCTACTTTTTAAATTATACTTTGAATTTTTATTCCATTTTATTGTTTAAAAATGAACGGCGATAAGCCTATAGAATTATAGATCGAGGCATAAAACAGTTAAAACAGTAAAAGCTTTTTTACGACACCATCTGTCCGATACTCTTTTCGATTGAAGCGGCACTAGGCCTAGGTCTATTCTGTGTAAGAAAAAAAATGTTATTTTAGAAAAACAACTGACCACCGTCGACATTGTACAAGCGCTTCACTGAGGCGTAGCGAATAGAAGGGGGGGGGTGCGGAGCGCACCGGGTGACACCATTTAGGGGGGTGACACCAAGGCAAAAAAAGAGCAAAATATATACAGAAAAATGATAATTTCACTTAATTAAATGATTAATTAGAGTGAATTAAATAGTCTTTTAAGAGCAAAGTGGGTAACACCCGACCTCGCCACGCCACTGGCGCTTCATTATATATTTATACAAGCACTTCATATATCACTGTATGGTGTCTTTCCGTTCGGCCCCAACAGCTTTTCAACGCGACGTAACTCGACAAGTTAATTTTTTTAGATGGGAAACATCTATTAAACTGAGCCTTCAAATGTAGAGTAGTGCGTGGCCAACAGACTATACAGAACTCCCATGTACGGACTGGAGCAGGCAACTCTGCGGGGGGGGGGGGGGGGGGGGGGTGACGGACTTGACGAAATGGAATTTATATAGAAAATATATACTTGTAACAGTGCCCCCCCCCCCCCCTCTCCCCGAGAAATAAAGTCTGGAAGGAACACTGGACTGGATTCGAGTAAGGCAAGGTTGCCTATAGTTTCACCATTCTTGTTTCTGCTGGCCATTGATGATTGATTGGATTATGAAGACGTCAACAGAGAACCAGTTGGATGACCTGGACTTTGCTGACAACCTTTCGGCTCCTCTTTCACACACACACACGCCAGCTACTGCAAGATAAAGCCGCTCAGCTAAATTTTCTATATACCTGAGTCTAAACGTTCGCAGAGGGAAAAGTAAAGTCCTCATAGTCAATACACCCATCAGCACCCCTTTAACATTGACAAACAAGACGGGACAGAAGAAGACACACACAAAAAAAATTAGGACGGACAAGGCAAGAACAGCCATTAACCAACAAAAAAATATTTGGGGTTCTGGAGATCTAACTCTTTGAATACAAATCCGGGTCTTCAACACACTTAGTAAAACCCGTTTTTTTTTTGTTTTTTTTTTTACTAACACATGGAGAGTAACCGCCACAAATAAGAAGAAAATTCAAGCATATAAAAACGCACGCATCTTATAGATCCTTCGTATGTGTTAGCCTAACACCATCAGAAATGAGGTACTATGGCAACGGTCAGACCAACTACCAGCTGAAGAAGAGATCCTCCAGAGAAAATGGAGATGGATTGAGTACACACTCAGGAAGCCTGCATCCATCAAGACGCCCTTATCTGGAATCCTTAGGGCAGAAGGAAAATAAGGCCGACCAAGGGAGACCTGGACAGTGTTTCTTCCAGACTTTTTTCTCCGGGGGGGGGGGGGGGGGCACTTGAAATTTTCGGGAAGGGGAGGGTGTGGGCGGTAGACTTTCTTCGGGGGGGGGGGGGCGGACACTCCCCTTAAAAGTATATATTTTCTATATAAATTATATAAATTTCATTTCGTTCCGGGGGAGCGGTAAAAAATGTTCGGAGATGCCTGGAAGAAACTCTGGACCTGGAGACGTGACCTGGAATAAGATACCAAGAAGACTGGATATATTTGGGGACAGTCGGAGAGTCTAGCCCAGAACGGATATGCCTGGAAAGCTCTTGTCAGCGGCCTATGCCCCTTGAGGGCGACATTCTAACCTAACAATAATAGAACATTCATTATGGCCAACCGTATTCTATTTACAATGTAATGATAATGAGGTCGCTCTTTCGGACCAGACGGGATTATTGTGCTTGAGTCAAATGCCATCTGGTTGGACCATGAAACGTCCTACGTATTCAATCCGGGATCCGAACTCGAGATTTTCGTGATATTGGTCACACGATTTACCGTCCGACCACGTCGTCCCGATAAATTTAAAGCAGGCTACAATTCGCTCATACACCAAGTGCTTAGCTAAGATCACAAGCGCGTGTTTTGCCCAATAAACTGTCACATCCGATAAGGCCACTTAATCATTCCAGCACTGCCACCATGCCCTCACACATTTAATTCTAAACTACAGACATGACTTCCCCTCCCCCCCCCCCCCCAAGGCATTTCAAAACTTCATTTACATACTTTATTCGTAGGTCCTGTAGGTCTAATTATCTTCTGATATTCAATGCTGAATTTCAATAATAATGCACGACATCTCCTTTCTGTGAGGAGCGCAAGATAACTACAATCAAGTGCCGTTGTCATAACTTTAGCAGCTGGACCTTCAGCGTACTTTCTTTTAACTTATTTGCATGTCCATCTTCCTTCCTCTCTTTGAGCTAGATTTTTTGTTTGATCCTATATTGACCAGTGTTCTACTTAATTGCTACGCGTCTTTTCTGTTGGGGAGGCATCATGCTACATATCTTGCGGGTCCTTTACTTTTTGGCTTTTATCCCAGGTGTTTTTAGGTTTTGTCTATTTTATAATTTTTTAGAAGCCTGAAGAGTTTTGCGTTTTGAGCTTCCCGTTTCATTTAGTCTGATGATGTTGGTCAACAGTTTACGTTTAAAAAAGTATAAATTAAAAAAAAAAACATCTTATCTTTTGTTTTCTCTCTCTGTCTCGATATGTGTGTGTGTGTGTGTTTATGAAGTTAAAATTAGCGCATGCATAGAACATATTATTTCTCTCTGACATGGAAATGGACGGAGGCTCTTTTATGCCTATGCTCTGTTGGAAGGATGTGCACTAACTACAAAGTGCATTTGATGTGATGGATACAATGCATCTTCGATATCAGAATCTCCGTGGAGTGTCTTTCTAATGCACACTCTCATAAAACGATATGGTCGCTTCAAACCATTGTAAATTTAGTAAGAATTATGCTTTAGGGTAGCTTTGCAAACATAACTACCCACGATGAGTGTTTAGGTCTAACTTTTTTTTACAAGCCTTTATTTGTACTTTTTGTATGTGCAATATGAAGTCGAAACCACATGTTTGAGAAATTTATAAGAAAAATGAAAGTACAAAGCAAGTTCCATGAGTTTAATGTTGATTTTATGCAAAAATGAAAAACTTAGAGTTCATAATACTCAAAATACCCAAAAGTCATCAGTTTAAATTTAATGTAAACAAGAAAAACAAGTTAATAAAAAGTCTAGTGACAATTTAAGCGCAATTTCCTTATGTTATCTAAAAATAGATAGACGTATAATGCTGGGGTGCGTTCAAGCTAGGAGAACGATCGGTTTGTAGGTGTTTATTTAATTTTAAATTTTTTCGTGTGACCGAACGAAAGGATATTTTTGAAAACTTTCTTCGGCAATATAGAGTCCTTGCAAACACGTGACCTAAATCACGTGATACCTACGCCCGCCGCCACAGTGGTGTACATCAGACGTAAACACAATCAGCTGTTCGCCAGCGCTGGACGTGTTCACCAGCGCTGGGGACGTGTTCACCGTATGTAAAGAATCGCGCCCGCGGAAAAATATGTTAAAAAACTTGAACTCTTAGGAATTGAAGATCCTTATACAGTTATTGACAGTTTCGTGGATAATATAAATATGTGGCCGAAATTTCTAAATAAAAATACTGTTAGTAATACCGTTTGCGTTTAGAGTTTAAGTAGACGAAGCTGATCAAATGCAGTAAGAGGTTATCTACTGTAGCAAACGTGAGACCACTTAACTCCTACAAAACCCACACTACAACGGCTAATATAATCCATGGGTAGTAACCAATCTGGATAGCATGTTATACAATTTAAGACCCTTATAATCCAGCAGGGAAGTAATCAGACACATTAATACTGACGTTCAACTCTCATAATGGCTGCCCCCACCTGTATCTAGCCCACAATAAAACCAAAGAGGAGTCTGCCCTGCCCTCCCCTGAAAATGTCTCACCTCCGTTATACCCAGCCCCACAGAGATAGTATTTCTTATATAATTTTGACCCTCAGGGCCCAGCAGGGAGAACAAAGGGGAAAGTCCCACTGCTCTCCCCTCAACACTTCTCACCTCGGTGTCATGTTATGTCATTTATAGCACACACGGCTTATCAGGGGAAAGCATTAAGGCATTAAGAATCTTAACTCTGGACAGCTACACACTAGTATACTAGCTACACACTAGGTGCCTACTGTAAACTACTAGACTGTAGGCCCTATGTAGACCTGCAATTGTATCAATTGTAGACTGGGTCCATTGTTATTATTCTAAACCATCTCACTTATAATGTTTCTAGCTTGATTTGTTTCTTTTATAAACAGTGGATTTAAAAAAAAAATTAGCCTAATCATTAACCAAATAATAATAATGTGGTTATTTGTTGTTGGCTGGTATGATCTAGATTGTACTACTAGGCTACAAAAACTTAGTAGACCAATTACTAGATATGAATTTGAATTTAATTAAACTCAGTCCAGTATCAGATACATATTGCTGTAAAAAGACAACAAAGTAGGTAGGCCTTAGTAATTTATTAAAGCCTTCTAGTACAATAATATCAACTACATGCTTGTATAAAGTTTTTACAATTTAATTTAAGTAGCAGATTCTAGATCTAAGTCTAGTCATATAGGCCTAATCTATTTCAATTTCAGAAAATTTCGTTTGCTAAAAAAATGATTAGATAATAGAGCGAGATTTTAGATCTTAGAGACAATTAAATGCTTTATTAGGCCTATTATGACTACTTTTGATTTATTATGGGTGTATTTTGAATCGAATGTAGATCTAAAGTAATTAAATTTAAGTAAAGAAGTAGATTCTAGATTCTATGTCTACCCAGCGGAGCCAGGTATTAGGCCTACTATTAGATCTTATTATTCTTATTAGCCTATTACTTTTGACTTTGTCTTTTACTATTAGTATTTGTGAAGGTCGAGCATATTTGTTTTATTAATAGTTATCTTTTATAATTAAAATGAAGTTTATTATTTTACTGTCCTTACATGAAACAAAGTATCGAGAACTGCATTTGATCAGATTCGGCTACTTTAACTCTAAACGCAAACAGTATTACTAACAGTATTTTTATTTAGAAATTTTGTCCACATATTTATTTATACGAAACTGTCAATAACAGTATAAGGATCTTCAATTCCTAAGAGTTCAAGTTTATTAACGTATTTTTCCTTTTCCGCGGGTGCGGTTCTTTACATACGGTGAACACGTCCAGCGCTGGCGAACAGCTGATTGTGTTTACGTCTTGTGTACACCACTGTGGCGGCGGGCGTAGGTATCACGAACGGACGTGACGTCATATGAAAGAACTCTATTGTTCTAAATTATGGCAGGAATCGATTGGTAAATGTTTCAAGTCGCTAAGTGGTCTGGTTGCCGAGATATGGGCAAAAAACTGCATTTTTCGAGGTTTTTTTTTTTGATTTTCCGTGAAATCCAGGAAGGAATTCCGGGAATTTTTTTGGCCCACTATCATCCTCGGAACTTGCTTAACAAATTTGCTTTGGAACTAGTCCTCTATATTGCTTCGTTGAGGAGGAGATATGACTTAAAGCTGCGAACACACATCCATCCATCCATTCCCAGAAAAGACGAGTTAATAAACGCAATTCTCCAGAATGGAAATTGCGCTAAAAAGTAACAGTAACAATAACTTACAACTATAAAAGAGCGTTAACTTGATAATTTCCTGACTTTTTAATTCTTTGTAAATCTCTATATAGAATAATATAGATTCTATGCCCTATTTAGTATTTAAATTTGGCGTGGAATCAAGCGTTTTGAAAACGAAACGCATCAAGACCAAGATAGATCTAGACTCTAATTTGGCCTACGTTCAATCATAAACACAAGATTATTGATCTGGATTAGATCTCGTTCTAGAATCTACATATTATGGAAAATCTAGGCCTAGGCCTAGTTGTAAATTTCGGGGTTTAAAATAGCAGGAAGTCACCGGAAGCTTTTGGACACTATCGACAAATTTCGACAAGATGGCGAACGAAGTAACTCACGCACCAAACAAAACATGGGAATTAAGTCTTTATGAACTGCATAGAACACCACAAGATGCTATTACGGATAATACAGAAATAGCAGTATCTCCTAGAAGCTTACACAGTGAACTTATGTGTCCAATATGTCTAGATATGCTCAAAAACACTATGACAACAAAGGAATGTTTACATCGGTTTTGTCAGGAATGTATCATAACTGCACTTCGCAGCGGAAACAAAGAGTGTCCAACTTGCAGAAAAAAACTCGTATCTAAGAGATCCCTAAGACCTGATCCCAATTTCGACGCACTAATATCCAAAATTTATCCTAGTAGGGATGAATATGAAGCACACCAAGAAAGGTTAATGGCCAAACTGAGCAAGCATCACAACACATCTGCCTTAACCACCAGCATTGAAGAAGGTCTCAGATTGCAGGCACTGAACAGAGCTCAGCGTGTTCGTAAACAAAACTCAGAAAGACGACAAGATGAGGAATCAAATGATGGAAACGTTTCAGAATCGCAAGGGATGGCAGAAACTGATGAAAATATGTCTAACGACGCAATGCACCCCAAAGCAATTAAACATTTTTCAGATGACTCCAGTGCTGAGAACTCCACAGGAGAAGCTAGTATGTCAGAACACCACTCTAGAGGTAGTCCAGAACCAGTAATTCCTCAGCTGGTAAATGAAATTGAGCTTATTTTCAAACCCCATCCTCAAGATTGTGATCTTATTGATCCAGCATCACAGACACGCTATATCAAAACAACAGCTAATGCTACAGGTAAAAAGTCATTTTGATTTTCAGCATTGACTTTTAGTTCAAATTTCTTTTAGCAAAAATATTGTTTTTGTTGATTTTTCAAATTTTAATATTCCAAAATGCCTACCCAGAATGACTTATTTAAAGAACCAGGATATTAATCACACATGCATATTTTACTTTTATGACAGTATGTAAATCTGCCACACACAGTGGTCATACATAAATGTAATGGAGTTATAGGCCTACAACTTATTTAAATATTCCTTCTCATAAATGGCTTTGGAATACAAAATTTCTCACACACCTAACTTCAGCCTACCTAGTTTTTAGTTAAAAAATAACACTGCAAGCAAGGGATAAACCCTAGTCAATAGTAATATTGATATTTGTTTTGATAAAAACCTGTTTCAGAACTCTGTGGTATTTCTTATCTATAGTATTCTTTTTATTTCACATATTTGAGGTAAAAAAAATAATTGAAGTTGGACCTAATACTAATAGATTTGATTTTTAATTATGAATAATTATGTATTTTCTTGGAGCTTAATTTAAAGTAACCTAATTCCATTCTTCTCTTTTAAGTGGATCATCTTTCAAAATACCTTGCTATACGACTTTCCTTGGATAATGCAACTGATGGAGAAGATGGTAAGTTGAACTGTATTTTAGTGTACAGTATTATAATGATCTAAGACTAAAAATTATATTTTATTCAAAATTTTAAAGCCAGCAATCAGTTATTAGAAGCAGGTCCAATTATTACAAATTAATTCTACTCAAAGCCTTGAAATATATTTTTTTAAATCTTATACAATTTTAGCTGAAGACCAGTCAAGCAGCAAACTATTTGACATTTTTGTATCATCCCAACCTGGACATTTTGTGCTCCTGAGCGGACCTACAAGCTTGGAACAAGTAAAAGAGAAATACTGGAAAGTTAATAAACCTTTGGAAATCTTTTATTCAGTGAGGAAAACGACTATTGCCATGTCAGCATTTAAAAAGCTGCATACAGAAACAAAATAAAGGGAATCGCCTCAGCAACATCTTGGCTAATAGTGGTAGAAATGCATTCTTTCTGAAATAAGAACATGCATGTTATTTTTACAATTCTCATTTGAGCACAAATGTGTTGACCCTTTCTGTACTGCTAATTCATTGTAAAACAGCATTTGTTAGGCATTTCAATGGTTGTGGCTTTTAACAGTTGGATTTATTTAATGTCTGAGCTCCTTTTTTTTTGTCAGCAAGTAAAATTATCTAGTGAATAGAGATTAATAATTGTGTCTTAAAGATCTGGGTTTTTGTGTGTGTACATTCTTAAAGTAATTAAAACATGTTTTTAGTTCAGTCTATATGGCTTTATTTAAACAATTCTATTGCTTTGTTTCCTAACTAAGGTGGTTGATCAAAGTGTATTTCTAGTTTTTTAATTCTTATCACATTGTGCAATATCTATTTCTTATAAATTTTTAGTAAGACCTAGTTTTATTTCCCCATAATCAGTAAAACCTTGAGTTTAGCCAGCTATGTTTGGAAATCTCCAATGAAGTTTTACAAAAAATATCAGTTAGTATTTAAAACAAAATCTTTGACACACTATTATAATCTTGAACCACATTGCATTATTTCTTTAAACACTTATGAAATATTTCCTAAATTCTTAAACACTTCTACAGTACTAAACCCTATTGCATGGAAAATAATAAAAAATTAGTGTAAAATTTTAAAAGCAATTTAATTTTCTTTTGAAATTATACAAAACAAATATTTAAAATTGTTTTCAAAATATGTAAAGCTAGAATATACATATTTAATTAAATGGCAACAGCTATTACATAATGAAATATAAGCAAACTATATTGTAAAACTGGCTCCGATATGCAAAGCAGAAAGATATTATTAGACATCAATACCCACTGGGGTTGCTTAAATGGTCATAATTAAATATAAATTAATTGAAGGCTTGTATTAAAATAAATTTGTGCATAACAGTTCTTCAGATTTTTTTAAAAGCTACTAATTTTCATCTTTAATACAGTAATTGTACATAAAATTGTTCATTAAGTAAGTTGTACTAATACAAAAGGTTAAGCTGAAAGGACATTCATGGCTTATGTTATAGTGATCAAGTAGATGGAGCTCTACCTAATGCTGGCTGAGGAAGTATCAGTCATCAGAACCTTGAAATTATTGGATTTTGAAGTGATATATACTGAGGAAGTTTGTCGATCACTAAGATCATACTGCACTTTCATACTTTTAAGATATAGCTGAAAACATTTGTTTTTTCTAGAATAGATGCACTTTGTTTACTTTTGGTTCCTTGAATATCACTGGATTTTAACCTCTGTGTACAACTTAACTTGTATATACTCATTGTTGTATCACCACTGCCAACTTCAATTAGTTCCATTTCTGTTTTCTTATTGAGCATTTTTCTGTTTTGTCTGTACTGTTCTTATGAGAATACTGTGGGATTTTATTTCTATATAAAATATTTACAGTATGAATTATTTCATCAATTTTGTTTCTGACTTGTAAAAAAGCTACATTTTTTGTATGTTAATACATTGTAAAAACAATAAACTGTAGTTTCTGCATTCTTTAATTTTTGACTTCTTAATCTTAGGGTTTTGCATGAAAATTAAAGCACTTTTTTTTAAAAAGTATGAGGAGATGCAAGCTAGCAAAAAAACACCTTTTGGATCTGATCCTTGATTGGGCTGATGAAGTAGAGTTCACCAGTGTCTGTGAACATTATGTTGTTTTGTGCCCAGCCACCTTTACTTTCTCAAAGTCATGTATTCATCAGAGCTGGGTGGACTTTGGAAGTCAAATGGACATTTATTTCATTGTGGCCCCTGGGGAGCAAAGGGCTGCAACCACACCTCTCTACTGGACTCTGTTTTGAATGTCTCTATTTATGCCCATGTAAGCCTGGCAGCCTTGTCTTATCTTCTACGGTACTCCTCCAGGATTTCCTTGGGGGCCTACTTTCCTCTTCCCCTGGAGATTTCAGTCAAGTGCTTTCCTTGTGATGTTGTCCTCTCCCCTTCTCAGGGTATGCCCTATCCATCCCCATGGACTCTAGCCGGGGGTCCTAACTTTTTTGACTATCTGAGGTTCCTTAATTTCTTTACTGATTTTTTAAGTTTTTTGAGCTCTACCCATAATTGTTCACAGTCTGTTGGCATAAACAACCAGTGGTCAAGTTACATGCCAAAGATTTGTATCAGTCAGTGTAGCATTGTTTTGGATAAAATACCTGGTCCCACTAAATAATATTACCTTTGCAACAAGTTTGTTACACTGCCGCATATTGAAAAAAAAAACAACTGCTGCATGATAGTGCAATAGATATAATAAAAACTACTCATTGATACATTGTGGAAAACCGTTAGATTAGAAATTATTTTAGATTGCAAATTTAATGTTGAGAACTAGAGAAGTCACACCTATAGGAAGTTTCGATTTTGATTCTTCATATTTATACCCAATATATAAAATAATCTTGTATATTTATAAGTAGTTCACATTCTTCCTTCAACTTGCTAGCATGATATCTTGATTAGTAATGCTTGTCAAATAATGCATAAAAATCAAAAGGTGCATATTTTATTTCACTGTACATTCAAAGAAGGAAAACGTGGAAAGAATACTATTTACATTGCCAGATCTGACTCTGCGCAAATGAAAATTGAAGAAAGCACCTAGGATTTAGTTCAAGTAGTCAAGAGTAGCAAGCAATCCCATGAACTAGGCCAAGTGCCCATTAAAAAAAAATCAAACATGAGTAATCAGGAAAAATATTAATTCCTAATGAAATCTAAAATAAAATGGATACATTTGGGAAGTTTCCATTTTAATGCGAATTTCAAATTATCATACGATGTAATCTCAGGAAATTGTTTGAGAAATACTGTCATTATTTAATTATAATTTAATAAATAATTAACATTTTTTGCGAAATTTTAAAAAGGAACCTGTCTAAATGCCCTAAAATAACTAACAGGAAGACGCCATTACATTTTAGGATATTTCTTTTATCTAGCCGTTGCTCTTAAACTGTTTCACACAGAGGCTTCAACGCACAGAGAATCTACGTTATTGCAATAAGGTTTGATGGTTTCTAAATTTATCTTTCTAAAAGTATTGCTTAAAAATTATTTTTGTCCTTCTTATATCACTCAAGTCTGAAGCACGTTAACTCTACTCTACTGTCCACGATGATCGGCGATCGGGAAACACCGGGTACTCGTTCTGCTAGAAAGAAAGTATTCAAATAGTCGACTCGAAATATCATCCAATTTTAATACTAGATCTAGATTCGAATATAAAAAGAATAACTAATAGCTTAGACTTAGACTAAATTCTAATAATGGGGCCTATCCAGAAATAATTATAGAATAGAAGTATTTAGTATTGGGGGTAATCTATCGTTTTGGGTACGTAAAATCGCCCGCGACTAGTAATGTGAAAAACAGGTGACTCCTTACATTTTAATGATTATTTCACATTTTGAGGAGGATTTATGTTTTGAAAAATACAAAAATGTTTCCTTGTTTCATTTATGTACCTGTATTTAAACAATTGAATTAAAACTTTTGACTAATAAATGAACACCAGCGATGTTTCCAACAGATGCAACCATGCTCATTTACTATAGCAGCCATCTTGTTAAAGTTTTATTTTTATAGACTTAGCGCGAGATTCAGGCGGAAGTCACTCTATTTTACAAATGGCTGCTGTTTATATAGCAAATCTTGCTTGCAGACACTGCTGTTTAAAGTTAATTTCTGGCCTATATTGATATATTTAGCCATTGATTTAGGTTTATTATTCATTTATCTATAATATTTGACACAAACATATCACAATATAGTTCTATTACAGCCTTGATAATGAGGTAACGTTTTCGTACATTAATAGCCGCGGGCGATTTTACGTACCCAAAACGATAGATTACCGTATTGGGTAACTCACAATTAATTTGAATTAATCTAGGCCTATATTACTGTGACTATATTAATATTTTTTTTTAGGTTCATTTGATTTGCTGACAAATGTCAGAAACAACAGACACTGCCATAGAAATGGCTGATGCTACTCCAGAAGAGAGCAATGAAGAAATCAAAAAGGAAACAGAAGAAAATGCAGAAATGCAAACAGAAAATGAAAATGTAGATGGTACTGCTGCACCTGAAGTTGAAGACGTAGTAAAGACTGAGGAGGAGCTAGAGCAAGAATTAAAAGAAACTCAAATAACTATCCCCCGGTATGCACCTCACATAGTTCCTGAGTGGCAACGTGAACAAATGAAAGGTAAAAAAAATGGTTCATTTAGGCCTTAAAAATTTTTATAATTTTTCTAAATTTAGAAATAATAAGCACAGGAGAATGCATCAGCTTTTTCTAAATAGTAAAATTATGTGTATAAAAAACCTTAAGTTAATAGAAATATACCTAAGTAATTTAAATGGCAATTTTAAGAAAGACAGTAAACCTTTAACTTTAATCAACACTTATTTTTTTGTTGTTGAAATTCTGACATTAGTTTGCTTTATCTTTTGCTTTTAGAACGCTGGATGTGGCATCTACGTATATACCCCATAGACCAGGAAGATTGTAGAAATTGTATATTGGACGCTGCCACAAAGATTTCCCAAGAAGCTTGGTATTATGTGCCAAAGCGTAAAAATGGACAAGGGTAAGCTAAAGATTACTATTTTTAACTGATGTTAAAAAATTTTTTAAAGATCAGTTCGTGTTTCTAATAAATTGTTTATACAATTTTCACAGTACTAAACTCTTGTTCATTAAATAAAGCTTCCAGCAGTTACACTACCTACACAACGGCCAGATAACAAATATATTGAGCAATGTTACTAAAACACTACATTGTTTTATTTTAATAGGATAGCAGAGTTGTGTATGGTATCTAATAATGAGGCAAATGCTGTTATGGCCAGAGTGGTCCGAATGCCTTTTTATCATCACTTTGTAACAATAGAAATAACTCGTCGTAGTCAAGAACAAGAAGGAGAAGTAGATCCCAACTCTCCACAGACTTTGTTCAGCAAAGTAGAAGAAACAGGTATTTTATTAAACTATATGCTATATGTTGCTTTCTATTTATTAAGTACATAGATACAATTTTGTCCTTAAACTGAAGTTAAGCAATTATTATTTATACATTTTTTTCTCTCTGTTGTAGCCACTATTGTATTTGATTCAACGAAGTCAGAGAAAATAAAAAATACTGCCACATCCAGAGGTAAGAGTTCAAAATTCATGTTGACAGTATTTTGCCTTGCTTATAAAAAAATTTTCAACATAAAATATAAATTATTAATAACTCACGTTATTTTTTTTCTTTATTCATATTAGAGGCTAGCAAAGTAATGTTATTAGCAATAACAAAATCCTGTGAAGTAAGAATCAGATAAAAATCTTGCAATGTTTATATTTTGGCATGATTATGTCTTGCCATTTTGTACTGTTTGTACTCTAAAACAAACCATGGTTCCTGGGGCTGCCTTGTTCGCCAAGCTTCAACCAGAGACCAAATTTTACATACTGACATACCAATCTTCTTCACAGGCAACCAGAAACGGCGAAGTCTCTGGGTGCGATATTTGTCAGAAAACACAAGCCCAGAGCTCCTTCGTGTTCTTTTCCCTCTATCACAAAGCACTGAAGTACAAACGCATGACAATTTGCGGTGAGTAAAGGAGGACGCCTGCACATTCTGTAGCATGTCCTCCTACTGGCAATCTGCCTGCTAATCTTAGATGGCCTTGCACATCCTGTAATGGGCTAAAGAAGGTCACAAGATTAACAGCAAACTTTGATTTTGCTGATATGCCTGATCAGAAATAGTTTGTGAGATTTTAATCACATCAGTTCACATTTTAAGTAGCTGTTGATAAACAGCTTTTTATTTTCTTAGTATCAAATACATTTTAAAGGGTGGTTGCTAGATAAATATTTTTGCTTTAATGACAGTTTTGAAGGAATGTGGTTTAAAGTATTTTTACTTTCAGATTTCTCAACGGTAAGTGTCTTTGAATGTCTATAATTTATTCATTTGCAAACATTTTACTGATATGCAATTTGTTCAATTAAAAAAAATATTCCTTTGATAATTTTTGAATACGATGTGACATGCATTTTATAGTTGAAAAACTTTTTCTTAACAGGATTGGTCATGTAGAGGCAAATTCTAAGACAGATGTACTTATCTTTATGAAGGCATATGTTACAGTTATTATCAATGAAACTCATATACTAGCTTTACAAAACAAGGAGCCATCTGAAAATGAAAGTGGTAAGCTAAATGAGAGTAGTTGAGGTTAAATGTACTGTATTGAAAATATAAAAATGAAACATCCATTTTACATGTTCTAGAATGAAATTATGTTTTATTTTGATTTATAGAAACCAAAGCTGAACTAGAAAAATCAGTCACTGCTGTAGAAGATCTCCAGTTAGCACCCACAGAGACAGCTGACAGAACAGAACAACGTAAAGATGAGAGAACTCAAACCTCCAGAGTGTTGAAAAGAACTCTACAGCAGCAGCAGAGGGCTATTGAAGGCAGAAGGAAGGACACTGCAAACAAGCGGGGCAGAGGGGAGCCACCATCTAAACGAGGCTCTGGAGGCTGGGGGGATACACGATTTGACAGGAGGAACGGGGGAGGGAGATACGGAGGTTCAGGTGGATATGGAGGTGGTGGCATGTTCCCTGGTGGTGGTGGACGTTATGGTGGTGGTGGTGCAGGTAAAAATTATTGGTATTGTTCTTTTTATGTAAAAAAAATTACGTACAGTAGGGTACTTTTCTTAGTAGTATTAGTTATTTTCCTCATTGATACTGTTTGTAAAATAATTTCTTTTTACACTATATTCTGTACATTAATGTAGCTCTGTGATAGTTTTTCATATAAACAACCATATAAAATTTTAAAAAGTTGGAGTTACATAGCTTTTTGAATTATTGAACTCATTTACTTCAAAATTTTATACTTAAAAACGCCTCAGGTTTCTATTTTGAACTGTTAATACTTGGAAAACTATTTTTAAAAATTGCTTCATAAATCAGGGGAGTCATACAATTTTTAAAAAGAATTTGTGTTTACATTTTGCAAACATAAATCGTTGCTAACGGATACACCACAAAAATTTTCAGGACTAGTGAATCCCCAAGACATGGCTGCAGAGATGATGATGATGCAGGCACAGCTGAATCAGACAATACAGCATCAGTTGATGATGCTCAACCCTAGAGCTGGTGGACGATCTGGCGGTGGTGGAGGTGGTGGTGGCTATGGTGGAAGGTTTGGGTCAGGTGGAGGTGGTGGTGGTGGAGGAGGTGGAAGACGTGGAGGAAGATCAGGTGGTGGTGGGGGCAGAGGAGGAAAAGGCAATGGTGGAAGAAAGTAAGTGGAAAGTATCACTGCTGTTCTTTGTCTTGTTGTTTTCTGCTGGTGAGAAGATGGTTTTTGTCTGGTCTGTCAGACATCCCTAAACCCTTCTCCTAGCACAAATGTCTGAAAGGGTTAAATTATTTCCACATCAGTAGTGATTTTTTAACTTAAACCTGGTGTTGAATTACAGGTTTGCAGAAAAACTGATAGTAAATAGTGAGAGATATCTGGATTAGGCAATATTTTGTGCACTCTTGCTAGTCATTTAATAACTGATGTAGATCTATATAATATATTGACATGCTCATAGACATTTGTTCTTAATAGGCTAAAATATCAATGTTAGGTGTAATCAAGTTCAAATGACTATCCAATGTGTTAGAAAAAAGTAATGTTCCCCTTTTTGAATCTGACAGTCCATGGGGCAAGTGAAGTAGAGTTCACTTGTTTTTGTGACCTCTGCGTATGAAAGGATAATCAGCACTTTGCCCAGATGCCTTTTCTTTCCCTAACATGGGTTAGATACCCGTCAGAGCTGGGTGTACTCGAGACTTTTGGGTTGGCACTCTCCTGCTAAGCCATGCAGTCACATATCCAATGTGTTAGCTGTTTAAAAAATGTTCTTTCTATATCTTCCTGTTTATACGTGTTCTCAATATGTTGTTTGTTCTTGTATTTTCAGGGGATTTGGATGGTAAATAATTGAGGTTCAGTATTGTTGTAAGGAACATGACCAGTCTGCAGATTTTTAGTATTGAATTGTACAAAAAATAAACATAGTATATTAACCAATGGTTGCCATGGCATTTTGTTGTGAGTTTAATCTGATTGGTTGGTACAAGGTGGATTCATATCTGATTGGTTGATATATTTAATGTACATAGAACTTGAAAAGCTTAAGGAAATGAATTTTTAACAAGAGGAAATGATTTTAGTGTGCCCTCTGCTTGCAGGTCACGAGTGTTCAAACTGTTGATTACTGTTGTCAGTGTAAACTTGTGTAACACTTGATTTGATACATTCATTCTGTCATGGTCTCATCATCTTGTTTTTTTTATTATTATTTAGCTTTGATGTATGAATAAATGGCTACTTTCAAGTCAAGCTTTACATTGTGTTAGTTCACTTATTTACATTGTATTAATTCCCTTATTCACAAGAAGTTTACTGGCAGCCAGTGTCACCAGTCTGGTACTGAAATTGTCATTAGCCCTATAATTGTATAATTAGACCTAAATAAAACCATTTTCACCAAAGCCCCCTCCCTCCCCCCCCCCCCCCCCCCTAAACAGGCATTGAACAAGCTATAAACATCACAATTAACACAAGAGAAAAGACAGATTGTATCTGGTTGTCAGAAGATATCAAGATGCCAAAGTGGAGTAGAATATTTATTTTTTAGAAAAAGGCTCTTTGGTCTTTTTTAGCAACGACTTCTGGGCAATAAAAAAAAGAAATAGGCTCAATATAAATTATGCCTTTTTTTTTGGTTTCCCTTTATTCTTCCTCTCATACCACTTACTCCATTCAAGTGAAGAGTGAAACAGTATGAGCAGGTTTATATAGTAATACATACATGAAATTTTACATACAGTATAGATTTTCCTTATTGTAAAGGCATCACATACATTTTCTAATTTTTTTGTTTCTGTTTGTTTAGGCATATTGTAGCAGAGATGCATATCAAGTTTCATATTATTTATGCATCTCTGTTACAATACGGATAAAATTCAAAGTAGACTCATCTAGTTTCATTTAATTTGAGTCTGATTAAAATTTTAGCCGTTATTTCGTATTTTAGAAAACCGTTTTAATAGGCCTAAATTGTAATAGAAATTGATTTGATTACTCGAAGTAGACCGATGACAGTCAATATTTTAAAAAAATCGTGATGTAAAACAAAAATTCAACTGCAATTTTGAGGGGGTTAGTAGGCTGAGGTGTGACGTCATTTTAGAGGGGGGGGGGGGTCTGGCTTTTTGTGACGAAGGTGAGTGGGGGAATCTTCGAAAAAAAAGGTGACTTCATTGAACTCCCAAAAAATGCATTTGTTTCATTTGAATATTTCTAGTTTTTTTTTTCTAAAATAGAAGCTACCTATATTTAGACCAAGGTCATTTCTTAGTAAAATTCTAATATATAAAAGACCATGCTTTTTTTTCTCTTTTTTTTATATAATTGGTTGTGTTTATTCAAAGATGGAAATTTGTAAGCATAAAATGCACAATGAACACGATTTTAAAAACAATAAGACCAATACTTTAAAATCTGGAGTGAACATATCAAGTTTGCGAATAGTATATACATTAGATTTCTCCAGGGGTTAAGTCCAATTATATATAACATATGACATTCATCTGACTCAAATCTTCCGAGAATTTAAAAATAATTTAAGCTGGTCTGCAGTGGCGTAGCGAGGTCGGGTGTCACCCGGTGCGGCACTTAATGGTGTCACCCCCAGAGGCGTAGCGACCCTTCCCGGGGACAAACTTTCAATTTTCGATTTGCACCCCCCCCCCCCCCTCAAACTTTCGATTTGCCCGTCTTAAAACACTATTTGACACTTGAATTAATCACTTAATTAAGTGGAATTATCATATTTCTCTATATATTTTGCTATTTTTTGCCTTGGTGTCACCCCCCTAAATGGCGTCACCCGGTGCGGCCCCCCCCCCCCTTCTCACTACGCCTCTGCTGGTCTGGATGATAAATGATACATGACTTTGTAACTATACTCAAAAAAAAAAAGTAAAAAATAAAAATGATGACATTGCTACTTGGATGAAAATCTTGTGAGTCCTTGATGCTTTTATCTGCTGAAAATAGTTGATTAAATCACAAACCACGGCCACGATCGTTTTCATTAACAATTTCAACTCCAGCATCTTGGATAAACCTTTTTGCTTCAGAAATAGCGTTTTTGCTCCCAGATAACTCAACAGAACTTCTACCAGATGAGTCGCCATCACGTGACACCTTTATCCGACAACCACTGTCTGCTTCCATGTCTCGTATTCTGCTTCCACCACGACCGATTATTCTGCCTATTTCAGATGACTCAACATAAATTGTTTAAGATTCGCCACCACCATCACCTCCAACGCCTCTACCACCGCCATCGCCACCATCACCTCCAAAGCCTCTACCACCGCCGCCGCCACCACTACGGCTTCCTCTGACATAATCATCTCGCCTACCCCATCCATCGCCGCTATCACGTTCTCCTCTGCCCCATCCTCCACCACGTCCACGCCCCCCCCCCCGTCATATCCACCACGTCTACCTCGACTACCATTATAATCACCACCACTAAGGCATTCTTCAATTAGTCTCTTGGGAAATTTAAATCTCTTCTGTTGTTCCACTGATTTCATTCCACCCTCATCCTTCCTCATCTCTGGATATTTTGATTCTGGCATTACTGTCTTGTTCTAGATCTCTGATTTTACTTCCACCACGACCTATGACCTTTCCCACACCATTTAAGGGGGGGGGGGTGACACCAAGGCAAAAAAAGTAAAATATATATAGAGAAAAATTTGATGGGGGGGGGGGGTGCAAATCGAAAGTTCGAGGGGGGGGGTGCAAATTGAAATTGAAAGTTTGTCCCCGTGAAGAGTCGCTACGCCTCTAGTGGGGGGGGGGGGGGTGACACCATTAAGTGCCGCACCGGGTGACACCCGACCGCGCTATGCCACTGGTTGAGAACGCTACAACTCTGGAACTGTGATATTTGCAATGGATTACTAATATCACACTACATGTGCGCCACTGGTTTCTCTCTCTCTTTCTTTCTTTCTTTCTTTCTTTATTTCTTATTATTTTTTTTACATTTATTTATTTTTATTTATTTTTTAATACTTATATTTTCATTAAAACAAGTTTTTTCCCTATTTTTTTTTTTTACAATTTTAAAAAAAAAATTACTTTTATTTGCAATTTAAAGAGAGTACTTTTTACTTTCTCGTATATACAAAGTATAGAGAAAGTATTGTAATCGTGCAAAAAAAAATCGAGATTTTTACAAATCTCGACGTTTTACACCTCACTGATACGGAAAAACGTAATTTTGCAATATTGTCCGTATGTCTGTGTGTCTGTGTGTGTGTGTGTCTGTGTGTAAACACGATTACTTCAGTACCGTTACAGCTAGGTTGATGACATTTCATATATAAGTATTTTATTAAAATCGTAGATCCGTATCAACTTTTGAGCGATTTCCGATAACTGGAAGTGGTACTTTTTCTACTTTGAATTTTTCAAAAGCCTATAACTTAAGTACTATTTCAGATAGATAAATGAAATTTCACATGTAAGTAAAAGATCTAATTCTCTACCTTCTATCAAATTTTGAGTAATTTCCGTTGAACGGAAGTACTAATTTACGCTATTTCCGATTTCTCAAAAAAACGCATGTAAATTTATAAAGAACTAATAATATTGCGCACTATTATGCGCTTTTTGCTTTGGCGTTCACTTGGTGCGCAATTCTTTTTCTACTAGATTTTATTCTATTTTTAAAAGTTTAAGTAAACAAAAATCATGTCTATATTCCGAGTTGCCATCCCACGTAGTGTTATATTAGGATACTCGAGAAAGTTTAGGGGAGATCACTCCCGGTTTATTTTTATTTTTTTTTTAAGTTTATTTATTCATTTTTTTTTTTTTGGTAATACTAGGTTTAATATAGAAGAAAATAGAAAATTTAATATTTTTTTGAATTTGTTTTGTTTAAAGAGAGTAATTTTAGCGCAATTTCCATTCTGGAGAATTGCGTTTATTAACACGTCATTTCTGGATGTATGAATGTATGAATGAATGGATGGATGGATGGATGGATGGATGGATGGATGGATGTGTGTCCGCAGCTTTAAGTCGTATCTCCTCCTCAACGAAGCAATATCGATGACTAGTTCCAAAAGCAATTATGTTAAGCAAGTTACGAGGATGAACACAGGCCATAAAAATTTCGGGTTTCTTTCATGGATTTCCCGGAAAAGCCAAAAAAACTCGAAAAAAAGCAGTTTTTGGCCCATATCTCGGCAACCAGACCACTTAGCGACTTGAAACATGTACCAATCGATTCCTGCCATAATTTAGAACAATATTGCCGAAGAAAGTTTTCAAAAATATCCTTTCGTTCGGTCACAAAATTTTTTTGAATTAATTAAAATTTGGACCGAATTAGTAGGCATTTTATGCAACCACACCACACGCGTCATCACGTTCAATAGCTGCGCCATCACGTTCAATGGCTGCGACGTCACGTTCGGTAGCTGGGCGCGCAATGGTTTTTAGTCATGGTACTCTATTGTAAATAAAACATGTAAAATACTGAATTTTTTTTAATAAAAAACGTTTTAATAACTAACCAATGGTTTTACTAACCCTGCTCTTGATTTACGCTACGACAGAGCTATTTTTAGATAACACAAGGAAATTGCGCTAAAATTGTCACTAGACTTTTTTTAATTACTTGTTTTAATAAAAAACGTTTTAATAACTAACTAAATTTTTTTTAATAAAAAACGTTTTAATAACTAACCAATGGTTTTACTAACCCTGCTCTTGATTTACGCTACGACAGAGCTATTTTTAGATAACACAAGGAAATTGCGCTAAAATTGTCACTAGACTTTTTTTAATTAGATCTACTTGTTTTATCATGCGTGTACTTAAAAACAATTATTTGCAAGCTCTATAACAAATTCTCAAGGAGATGATTCGGAAGTCTTTGAAATAAAAATGAAATTCGTCAAAGCTGTTACGTTTTAAATTATGCTTGTAAAAATTAAACAAAAAACAGCTAGAAGCTTATTCTTACGTATTTTTAAAAATTAGGAATGTTTACAAAAGTAAAAATCATAGATGCGAATTAAAGTTATATCATAAACAAATCTTTCATTAAATTAAAAAAAAATTACTTTGTGAATCAAATAAACATTGTCTCCCTTGGGTAATTTGACATCAAGTAGGTAAGCGATTTATAAACTAACGCCATTTTTATTAGATGCAAAGCACCTAACGTTTCTTCCAGACTTTTTTCTCCGGAGGGGGGAGGGAGGCACTTGGAATTTTCGGGGGGGGGGGGGGGCAGACTAAAATTTCCGGGGGAGCGGACACTGTTAAAAGTATATATTTTTTCTATATAAATTCACACTACACACACGTAAATCTAAACAATGATAAAAACTTTATATTTAGTCTATATAGGCCTATAAAAGACGGTGACTCAAGGTAAAATATTTTAATGTTTTCACACTACACACACGTAAATCTAAACAATGATAAAAACGTTTATATTTAGACTATACAGGCCTATAAAAGACGGTGACTCAAGGTAAAATATTTTACTGTTTTCACACTACACGTACATAATTCAAAACAATGATAAAACGTTTATATTTAACTATATAGGCCTGTAAATATAACACGATAACCTGTCAAATTATTCTAGCTCAATTTTATCCCCCTCCCTCCCTCCGCAAGACATCAGAACAGTGACAGTAATAAATTATTAAATTAATATGTATTTAGAACAAATATATTTTTTCTTACAAAGAGCAAAATATTTCATCACATTTATTAAATTCTCTCTCCCCCCTCCCCCTTGTATACTTGTATTACATCATTACGGAAGACTAAGCCACAACTCTCCCCAAGACTGTGGCATTAAAAATAATTGATCCCTTTGTGATTGTGAAGCGTCGTCTAGTAAAGCGAGTATAGGCTTATCTGAACCAGTGCGTGAAATTTTTCTGTTTGATGTTTAAAAACAATCAGCCTTAAAATCAGCCTAATGGACAAGAGTCTAGAGCAGGGGTCTCCAAACTTTTCAGTACTAGGGCCGCATTAACTATCAAATTTCAGTGCGGGGGCCAGTTTCTTCCAGGCATGTCTTTGATTTTTCTGGGCATACTTCCTCAGCAATCACCAACAAACGATTTGAGAGGACTTCGCGGGCTGCATCCGGCCGCGGGCCGTAGTTTGGAGACCCCTGGTCTAGAGTGATACATGGCATTTAGCCGTTTTAAAAAGAAAACCCACGATCAAAGTAAATATAATGCTAAAAAAACATAATGCTACATTATTCTTCAGCGTAGGAACAACATTCGCATTCATTTTTACCTTTAAAAAAATTTGTATTTGGAATAATCTGTTGTGCTTATAAGAGGGCAGTTTTTTTGACGATGTTTTTGTTGACTGAAAATAATTAGCAGTAGATGTACGCTGTAGCGTCAAGAAGAGGGGACGTAGTGAGGTCCGCACCGGGTGATACCATTACGAGGTGACACGAAATCGAAAAATAGTAACATAATTTACCGTCAAAACAATGTTGTATCCAATTAAAATAATAAAATAGGGGGAGTGGGGTGGCAACAAACTTACAAGGCAAAATTGTTTTTATGGGAGGGGGTGACATCACCAGGTTATACCCGACATAGTGACGCCGCTATATACAGGTAATAACAAATTAAATTAGTTTATCTTTAGCAGATACTATCGCAACACCATTTCACTTTTTACACAGAATTCCATTCACCTGTTACTTGGATGTTATTTCATCATATATGTTATCTGGAAAACAAACATATATATATATATATATATATATATATATATATATATATATATATATATATATATATATATATATATATATATATATATATATATATATATATATATATATATATATATATATATATAAATAACATATGTGACGGTGTGGTCGGAAGGTAGATCATACGAATGCTAACCCGGATGTGCCGAGGTCGAATCCCGGGTAATGCCAGTATGACGTCTGTGAGTCCACCCAGTTCTGATGGGTACCTAACTTACATTAGGGAAAGTAAAGGTAACGCTGTATAGTGCTGACCACTTTATCCTTTCATACGCCGAGATCACAGAAGCAGCTGAACGCTACTTCATCTTACCCGTCGACTTTCAGGTTCGAAAAAGAATTTCTATTGAAATTTTATTTAGACCTACATAAAATAAAAAAAATTCTTTTCAGTTGTCCTGAAAAAAAAATGTTTTAAAACTCGAAACACATTTTCTCTGCGTCACAAATGTTTTGATTCAGAAAATACAAATGAGTAATGACTTCTCGTTTGTAGAAGTCCTAGACTAATCATAACATGACAACAACATGACAACAATCAACAACATGATAACAACAAAAGAGTCACCGTCAATGTTTTTGCTGTAATCAACGCTTGAGGTGTCGTAATCGGGAGCAAGATAATCAAGGTCTGGCGGTTCTGAAAATACACAATTTTATTTTGACTTCGAATTTGAACAAACTGAGCATGTTGATGAGTCTTGGCGTGCAAACAGTGCAGCACAGATTCAGACACGTACATGGATATATATATATATATATATATATATATATATATATATATATATATATATATATATATATATATATATATATATATATATATATATATACACATGAGTCCGCTGGAAATGTGTAGTTGCAGCCCTTTGCTTCCCAGGGGCCACAAAGGAATGATGATGATGATGATATATACACACACTCAAAAACACACACACATATATATACATATATGGCCATTTTCAGCAAAGTGGCGCCTTTTTGGAAACTTTTTAAACTCAAAGTTTTAAAATAGGATATTTGTTAAAAATATTTTTAGTCGGCACATCTATGTAAATCACAAGATTTCTTTTCATGCAGCTATTAAGGATTATTGTACTAGTCTAGTAAGAGGAGTGTCTATATTTACAATACGTATTAACAGCTGCATCAGTTTGCCATTCTAAAAATAACCATTACGATGCATTGCAATGTTTAAGAAACCTCTACGGGTAGTACCACTTGGCAAGAGGGGTGTTACGTTTAAGGCAACTGTATAATGTATTTGCTTATGAATAATTTAATTAGAAAATGTTATACATAAAACTTCACACATAATTACTTTATATATATACAGTTTGAATCGTGTGATTAATTTAAAAAAATTACAATACAGAAACAAATACAACTGATGTGGCACCTCTATTTAAATTTACTTATGAGCAAACTGCGTAGTGGTGGGGACATTTTGATAAGGTCAACAACGTCATCACGATGAAGTAGTAGTATTCTTACAGTGTGGGCGATAGTGATTACGATTACAAATTATATGAAACAGTTACAACCCCCCTCCCCATGGACCCCTCTGTAAAAAAAAAATTGTCATAATACCACTGCTACTTATTTAAATCTATTTCTGTAATATATATGTGTGTAATATATATTTGTGTAATACATATGTATGTTTAGAACAGTCATCTAAAAACTGACGCTATGTTCACTCTGAGTTGGTTATCTCCCCCCCCCACACACACACACACCTCACCACCACAATTGTGTAGAGCGACATTAATGTCACAACTAGGTATACACTTAGTTGGATAATAGACCTAAAGTAACCGGACAGTGGTGAATAAAGTTGAACCCACCCCACCCCCACCCCCGAACTGATCTGTTAAGTACATGTAGAAAAACGCGTAATGATGTACCAAAGTACGATGCCGCCAGAAAATTAGCGTTTTAAACGTAAAACTCTGTGAATATTGTTTTTGCAATTACTAGTAAAAAGGTGTGTGATCAATACAGTGATCTAACCCATACCTATCACTCTGTAAAAAAATGATTTTTAACACAAAGAAGCAGTAGTTAATTAAAAATATATGATCTGAACTAAAAGACCGATTTTAAGTTCATTGTAGGCTGTTACTACAGATACGTTTTTATTAAATCGAAAAGCGTGGTTTTATACCAACTCTGATTTTAAAAAACTTTCATTATCCTGTAATACTTTAGCATTTATGATGACGATATATTAAATTCTGATTCTAGACAAAAACATATTGCAAACACAGTTTTAAACAATCTCATTAAATTCTTAAGTAATTATTTATTTGTTTTGACATTTATAATTAAATGTCTAGATATATACATATTTATATTAAGAGAGTGATTATTTCCCCTATTTCACTTGTCTTTAAATAATTTCCCAGGAATTATTATGTACGAATTTTTTTTACAAGAATTACAAAACAGATTGCGTTACGTTCATTGCTTTTGGTTGTAGTGTGTGTATATATTTTTTTGTTTAGATTGATACAATTTTTGTTTTGTCGGCCTATATTGTGTGTTTTTTTCTTATTTCTTCAGAGTGCTACTTTCAATTTATTTAACATCATAGCGAAGTAATGACATACAGCTAGTAATTATATATATATATATATATATATATATATATATATATATATATATATATATATATATATATATATATATATATATATATATATATATAATACACGTATATAGAACGTGTTAGAAATTCTGCGCCTTTTTTTTTGCTCTTTTTGCTCCCCCTACAACTAAAACCTGGATCCGCCTCTGGTATACACACACATACATAAAACAATATATTGGCCTACCTAGCTTTAGGTAGTAATGACAGGACATCACATCTACATCTATCTCTGGCTGAGGAATGTGATAGAGAGTTGGCTGGTTTGTGTCTCTGCTGGGATTTGATCCTGAAACAACAGTTTGTTTGTAGTCTGTAACGTTGTGTTGGTGCTGTGTTTTTACGCACTCAGAACATTGTGAAAATTGTGATAGCTTTTTTTTTGCTTTTAAGAGAATTATCTGTTGCTTAACATCAGCTTCGAGTGTTCGTTTGGTTTGTTGCTTTAAGGAGTGGTTTATTATTGTGAGTCGCGGTTTTATGTGTTGTCCGTTGATTGCGTGTGGTATTTAAATTTTATACATTTTTTTTTACTGCACTTCACCCTGTTGTCACTAAACCAAACCCCACAGCCGAAATGACGTTTCCGATTTTCGCCCACTTCATCTCCACCCAAGCGCTCTCCTTTAAAAAAAAACCCAGTTCTCACAACAATTAGTATTTATATTTGATCACGTTTCTTTTAAAACCTACCAATGTAACGATAAGCACCTCGTCCCAAAAGTCTGAACTTCGCTAAACGTCGCAGCTTGCGACACTATTATATGGACGAACCCAAAATTGGGTTATAATCAAACTCAATGTGTATGAGGTTTGTGGTTTAAAGATGAAGTTCGTTGTCAATGTGGTTTGTATTCATCATGCGGCGTGTGCTTCAAATGTACATCTTTGCATATTTGGTTGTGATTTAAAAGTGGCCAATTATCTATGTGATGTATGGTTAATGTGTCTAATTATCTATGTGTTTGTGGTTAATATATTTCTAATTATTTATGTGGTTTGTGGTTGAAATGTGTCTAATTATCTATGTGGTCCGTTGTTTAAATAATAATCATTAAAAAAGTTTTTAAAAACCCACGTTTTCTGATTGAACTAAAAAGTAGAAAATAAATACTATACATCACAATAATGCAAGCGATCACTCTACTATAAGCGATCAAAAACGTGGGGCGCCGAAGTAAAAGTTATATTACTATTGATTAGATAATACTACTGACTTTTATTAGGGAGCTTGTAGAGAGTCAACAGTATTAGAAACTGTAAGAAAATCACGGCGCTCCACGTTTTTGATCGCTTTTTTAATGATTATTATTTTCTACTTTTTAGTCTTTGTCTGTTTGTTTGCATTAAAATCTTGCTATCGATTTTATCTTTTCACTTTTTTTTGGGTAAACGAAGACAACTCGTAAAAAGACAACTCGAAAAAAAATCGTTGTGTGAATACGTTACTGACTAGAACACATAGATTTGAACCCGTGTCGAGTGGGATAGCAATCGTGTGCCCAACCACTCGACCATATCGTCTCCCCCAAACCGGCCTATATCCTGTAAGTTTAAACTCGGTTCAAAGTAAATTATCTGACCCTAAGCCTGTGGCAACGTTGGATCGTTCGCTTCACTGCGCGCGAGGTACGCGTCGCTGGTTTTTTTTCTAATGGCTCGAAGAGGAGAATTATATATATAGATTATATAGCGGTCTAAAATGCTCAATAAAATGTTTCCATTGATCAATTTAGTAATAATAACAATTGCATATTCTATGGTCATCCAAAAGAAAGCTTCCCTGAAAATTTCAGCGCGCTAGCTAACTGGGAAGTGCCAGAAATTTCGATCGCAAGATTTGATTGGAAAGACAAACAAACACAGACACAGAGGTACACACCTGCCCGAGATCGTGGCTTGCTGTTAGCTTGGACATGCGCAGTCTTGGTATAATCGTTGCTCTGGGCGCGCTGAGCCTTCTCGGGTCTTTCATTGAACGTCTTCAAACCTGCCAAACATACCAGCATTCAGTGTTTCTTTCAGACATTTTTCTCCGGGGGATACTTAAAACATTGGGGGTGGAAGGGGGACTTAAATTCCCGGGTGAAGGGTGGCAGTAGCCCCTCGAAGAGATGCCTGAAAGGAACTCTCTCAGCAATTCAATCGCTCATCAGCCATAGCAGATCACCTTGATAATGCTCATTGTTTCATCGGCATCTTTGACAAACAATCCTCAATAGCTTTTTTTTTGCAATTTTTTAACCATGTAGATCTTTGGTATGTTAAGGTGTGTTTTTATTTATGGAATATTATAATTTTAATCAGTTTTTATCTTTTTCAAGACATTATTTTGTGTTTTTACTGGATTTATTTGCACATTTTGATTTTGCCATCCGTGCCAAAAGCTTAACATTACGGAAATTAACCCTTTCGATAAGATTTAATTAGTAAGTTTTTTTTTTTAAATTAGATTGAGTTAAATAAATTATGAACTATGTAAGTATGTGAAACATCTTGATAGCAGGCACCAAGCAGAGAGCAGCAGTTTAAAAAAAATATTAAAAATTCGGATTTATTGAAAGTGTTAACGACACAACTCACCTTGCTGATGACGGGATGTTCTACGTCTCCTTATACTTATACAGACGACGATTGTAATAATGATAGAGATAAGCGCGACACCGCCACAAGATGCACTTACAATTATCACTAGCTCCATGTCTGTAAAAAAAAAGGGGGACTTCAAAAAGTTCATTTCTCCAATGAAGGAGAATAAAATGTACTCTCCATTATTAAATGAGCATAAAAGTTATAAAAAATACAAAAAACTATAGCCTAAAATTGAATTTTTTTATTTAAAATAATTAAAAAAGAAACACACTGTATTAAAACAGAAAAAATACGAAAGCGAAAAAATACGAAGCACAGAATTATGCCCTACCTTTAAAGCAATCAGACCGATGCTTGCTACCGAGGTTTTTCGTTGTTTCACCGTCTGGGCACTTCACGCAACTGTCTGCAGGCTGCTCAGAAAAACTTCCTTTCCCACACCTCTCGCATTGGCCACTTGTATGGTTGGCAAACTCACCGCCTTGGCACTTTGCTGGTATATATATATATATATATATATATATATATATATATATATATATATATATATATATATATATATATATATATATATATATATATATATATATATATATATATATATATATATATATAGATATACATAATCTCTTCCATAAACCATACACTTAAGCTTAATGCTTATATATGTATAAATGAGGACCATATGTAGTGTAAATGTATGGTTTGTTGAAGAAATTAACTAAATGGCGCATACATAAAAACACTTACATAAAAGACACAACCTACTTTCAAAGAACAGTTTTGACAATTTCAATTGATAAAAATACTGTAAAAGACCTTTTTAATACAACAAAATCGAAATCTTAGAACGCTTAGAGCACTGATAGAGAAGACCGATATTGAACACTCACAAACGGAACACTCATACAGAACACTCAGAACACTCATACAGAACACTCATACAGAACACTCATACAGAACACTCATACAGAACACTCAGAACACTCATACAGAACACTCATACAGAACACTCATACAGAACACTCATACAGAACACTCAGAACACTCATACAGTACACTCAGAACACTCATACAGAACACTCAGAACACTCATACAGAACACTCAGAACACTCATACAGAACACTCAGAGCACTCATACAGAACACTCAGAACACTCATACAGAACCCTCAGAACACTCACACAGAACACTCAGAACACTCAGAACACTCAGAACACTCAGAACACTCATACAGAACACTCAGAACACTCATACAGAACACTCAGAACACTCAGAACACTCATACAGAACACTCAGAACACTCATACAGAACACTCATACAGAACACTCAGAACACTCAGAATACTCAGAACACTCATACAGAACACTCAGAACACTCATACAGAACATTCAGAACACTCATACAGAATACTCATACAGAACACTCAGAACACTCATACAGAACACTCAGAACACTCATACAGAACACTCAGAACACTCATACAGAACACTCAGAACACTCATACAGAACACTCAGAACACTCATACAGAACACTCAGAACACTCATACAGAACACTCAGAACACTCATACAGAACAATGTAACAGTAAAAGAGATGGCTGAGATCTTGTCCAGATAAGCCACGCCAAAAGTTAACCCCCGCCACCCAAAAAAAAAGGTTAAAAACAATATGATATGAAACTTGTACTTATAGATTTTATAGTAGAGGATGAAATTGGGACGTGCCATTAATCATTTGCATGTTTTAGGTACCTTTAACTCTAGCCCTCAAGTTTGCTTGCATTAAATTGAAACTGGCAAACACTTTTCGCGTGTGCACTTTTTGCATTAGTGGCGGGGCTTATCTGAACATGACTAGATGCTTGATGTAGAACACTGATCGAGAAGACTTACAGCATGTTCCCGATAGATCCATGATCTCTCCAGATTTACAAGGCAAGATGTTTATCTGTAAGTAAATTATCAAATCAGTTCAGTTGCGTAGCTAGGATTTTCGGGCCCCTATGCTAGACTACAACAGAGTTAAACGAAGAAATCAGCTGCTACTTCCGATGTAGGGTTTTAAATAATACGAGCCGGCCCGCGGCATAACATACGCCGCTATTTAGTTGTTGTTTTTTCTACTTTTCAGTAATTCATAATTTGTGAATTCGACAGTACCAACGCTGACACTGAAAATATTTCTTTAAAACACTATAAGTAGCTCGTTAAGGACCATAACCCCCCCCCCACCCATTCCTCCCCCCCCCCCCCCCCCAACGTTTAAAATCGTTTCAAACTAAATTATCTGCCCCTAATAGCCGTCACTAAACCCGACTCCACGAAGGTAAACATGGCGTGAACCACAGCTCACTAATAAGACCATGTAGGGGTGGGGATGGTAGGGAGCGCGTTTACAGCTTGTTTTCTAGCGTCTCCCAGAAGAGAATTATATATATAGATAGATAAATATTCGGTGTATTTATTTTTTATACATCCTGATTGTTTATATATCGTAGGCCTACTACCCCGTAGTTTTGTAATGATGTTACAGGCTTACAGTTGATTTGATTTTTTTAAAGTAACGAAACACTGAAGCGTCACATGGCGGTGGCAGAGGTGCGACCCGCATCTGATGACAACCTTTACGCGTGACACCTTGACGAAACATTGTAACATTTACTTTCAAAACTATGTTGTATCCAGCTAAAATATGTGAGCAAGGGGTGACATCCCACCGAAAGTGCAAAGTTGTTGGCGACAATTGGGTGACACCTTTAGTAAACGTGTAGAGTAACCGACCTTGTGACGCCCATAACCAAGCACAACTTTTAAACAATTGCTCAATATTTATACAGATCTGGGTTTAACTTTATAAGATGATTAATAAGTTCCTTGAAATCCATTTTAGCTGTTTCTGTATGTTCTACACTTAAGATGACCAAATTACTGTCCCAATGGGCACATCTACAATTTGTTTCACAACAAATTAACCATCATCATAATGAGCAAATCATGAGATTAAAAAGTTACATCATAGACATCAAATCTCCTTCCGATCACCTTGGAATATTAATTATCAGTTAATTATCAGTTAATACAATCTACGTAGATTTCAATCAATGCTGTTCGGCACTGTACGTTTTAGACATCAAGCATCCAATGCTTTAAGCATAAGACGTGCAGTGTTTTGGCATCAAGGTGACGTCCATAAATGACGTCACCGACCTTGCTGGAAGAATGAGATGTTTTAGACGTGTGATGAGGGGTGGGGGCATTTTTTTGTATATCTTAAGAACAAAAATGGTCAACATTTTAGTTACATTAGATTTATGGGGTGGGGATTGGCGGTGGACTCGACTTAAATTATTCAGTGTGTGTGTGGGTGGGGGAGGGGAGAGGGGTTTGACTTTATACGATGACGAATGAGGATACGGAACTGTGGGGAAAAATCGTCTATAATTGAATGGACGACTCCCATGCATTGAATGCCATTTTAATATTTAGTAGAGTTACTAGAGCAACAACCAAATAAAGTAACATATTCATTCACCTATTTTTATTGTACCATATTCTTATACCTCATTTTTAAAAAGAGCCACAGCTATTCATTACTTTCAGAGAGCACGTTGTGGTTTTTATGAGGTAGTGAAGATAATTTTTAACATGTATTCCAAAACCCACCAGAGTTTCTTTCAGGTAGGCTATCTCTACGGTGTAAATACACTACCGTTTCCCCACTCCCAGTGCACATCCACAACCCCTCCCCACCCTTGACAAAATAAAAAAATGTCTCTATAAATTAAATACTTAAACCAGAGTACGCTCCCCCCCCCCCCCCCAATCCCCCGGGAAGTTTTAACTGTGCCCCTCCGGGTTTTCAATTCTACTCACATTGTCAAAGAGCGGTGTCAGGTCATAAAAAGCCCCCAGAATAACTTGGTCGGCGTCTCGATATAGTGAAGTGCCATCTTCCTTTAACCTAGAGCTGAAACACCATCAAGCAGAACTTTAATGGGGACGTACATAGGTAAGGAGCACCGTATACATTGACCTCAGATATCCACCCGGCACATATATATATACAGTATATTGGATATGTATGTATATATTCACGTTTTTGCGTTAATATTTGTATAATCTCACTTAACGTCTGCAATGCTCACTTGTATTTATACCCCTGCCATTTAATAAAAAATATCATGTGACTTTTGTAATAGTCAGGCTTACGTCCGCCCGCCTTTTGATAAAAAAAATATCACGTGCCTTTTTAAATGGTCAGCCGTACGACTGGCACTCAATAAAAAAAAATCACTGAACGTTTTCGTAAGTCTTCCAAGTCATTTTTACAAACGTCCCACTTAACCCATGTAATTGTCTATTGTATTTCTACCCGGCTGTTTAATAAAAAAAAAGAATCCATCAATAAGCCGTACGTCATTTAATTTCCTACGAAAATCTCACCTGACGTCTACGATGGTCAGCCGCACGTCTGCCGTGTCACCTTTGCAGACGTTTGTGACGCTGACGAGCATGTTAGAGCAGGCGTCAGTCGGACACAGGTCAGGGTAGATCTTCCTCCGGTACCGCATCAGCAGAAGGACGTTGGCCACCAAGACCGCTTTCATGTGGTCCACGTTTTCACACTTCCCTATCCGGAACTGTAAGTCCACGTTGACGGTCAATGACGTCATGGCAGGCGGCGACTCTATGGAAAATTAAATTAAGCAGACGGAAACGGTTTTAGCATCTGAAGGTGAATAGAGGAATACATTCGGTGTGAAATGTGTTTGTGAAAAAATTTTGTGATCAGTACTATGCACAGTGTTTCTTCCAGTTTTTTTTCTCCGGGGGGGGGGGGGGGGGCGGACTATGTTAAAAGTATATATTTTCTATATAAATTGCATTTTGTTCGGGGGGGGGGGCGTTTGACTTTCTTCGGGGGATATGGGGAGGGGGCACCGACTCCGCCCTCCCCCACCCCGGAAGAAACTCTGACTATGCATCGTCGTGGGGCGGTGTTAATCTGTATTGACTGTAGAGAGTTTGGTTGCTACCACGTAAGGTCTCGAGTTCGGATCTCGGTTCGGACTTGTGACTGAGTCCACCCAGCCCTAATGTGTACCTGACTTACGTTTGGGGAAAGTAAAAGCGAGTTGGCATAGTGCTGACCACGCCATATCAGCTCTATTTAATCTGCACAATGGACCGCTAGGTCTAAAGAGAAACTCTACAATGCCTCATCAACTTTACCTCCCACACCCGGACACCCGACTATCCAGATACCCATTAGTGCTTGAAATCCCAGAAACCGAACACGGGACAGTCTTCCCATTAGACCGACCACCCCATAGCTATACTTTACTGTACAATACACTGGGTTTGACAGCAGAAGGCTCGACTAAACACGAATAGTCTCGAGTTGTAATCCCGAGCTCAAGTCTGTAGTACATACATGAGTCCACTCAGCTTTGATGGGTACCGGACTCAAGTTAAGGAAAATAAAGGCAGCTGCCCTATTGACCGCTAGGTCCGAAAGGGCAACTTTACTTCAAACCTGTAATGTACGCGAACGAGAGCGTAGATCCTATTTGTTTAAATTTTTTCATTTAAACAAAAAGCATGGCTTTAATCTTGAGATATGATGTGTTGCATTCTGTGTTAAACATGTTGGTAGGCTTATGCGATCAGGTTATCAATTTCTATTAAATTAAATCAGTTAACAAAGAAAATATCTGTGAAAAATGTTAGATTGATACAATGTGACCTTGACATAAAAACACAGTATCTTATAGACTAGCACCGGGGATATCCCTACACCACGACGTGCGTGTGGGTGTGTGTGTGTGTGTGTTGTGTGTGTGGGGGGAGGGAGTGCTCACGATAAAAAAAATTGACTGTAACTGGGGAGGTCACTCACCTGTTGCCTGGAAACACTGGCTGGATCCAGTCTCGTTGGTTGTCTGCCCGCTGGGACAGTAGTAACACGCCTGTGTGTGTGGGAGGGGGGTGTACAACAATGTTATTATATCTCAATAAAGTATAGTGTCAACAATTTTATTATATACCAATAATATATACAGTCGACAATTTTAATATATCTCATTAATATACAATCAACAATTTTATTTTCAAGACTATATTTGAATAGAATATACAGTCAACAATTGTATTATACATCAATAATATATACAGTTAAAATTTTTCGTAGATCTCAATTGTATATCCAGACAACAATTTTACAATGTGTGCTAAGAATGAAACAAAGCCAGAGGTAACTGAGAAGGTCAGAAACATTAAGTCCTACCTGCAAGGATTCGTTCCTGTACTGGTAGATGGGGCAGGCAGTGCAGGTTTTGGTCGTGAAGTTGTACTGGTGACCCAGGGGACAATCAACTACAAACATGTACACAGTTAGTTTAACAGCATGTACACAGTTTACCAGCATGTACACAGTTTACCAACATGTACACAGTTAGTTTAACAGCATGTACACAGTTTACCAGCATGTACACAGTTTACCAACATGTACACAGTTAGTTTAACAGCATGTACACAGTTTAACAGCATGTACAAATTGTACCAACATGTACACAGTTAGTTTACCAACAAGTACACAGTTTACCAACATGTACACAGTTAGTTTAACAGCATGTACAAATTGTACCAACATGTACACAGTTAGTTTAACAGCATGTACAAATTGTACCAACATGTACACAGTTAGTTTAACAGCATGTACAAATTGTACCAACATGTACACAGTTAGTTTAACAGCATGTACACAGTTTAACAGCATGTACAAATTGTACCAGCATGTACACAGTTAGTTTACCAACAAGTACACAGTTTACCAACATGTACACAGTTAGTTTAACAGCATGTACACAGTTAGTTTACCAACATGTACACAGTTAGTTTACCAACATGTACACAGTTAGTTTACCAACATGGACACAGTTAGTTTACCAACATGGACACAGTTAGTTTACCAACATGGACACAGTTAGTTTACCAACATGTACACAGTTATCATTGCGTACCTAAGTCAGTTTGGTTCAGGCCAACCCCATCCCTCTGGCATTTTTTAATTGCTGATTTATAAAATTAAAAAAAAAAATACCAGCGAAATTGAAATTGATCTTGAACTTCATTATGAAGTAGGTCTTTACAAAAGTATAAGGCCTGAACTTTGTTGTTAATTCGGTCTTTACAAAAATATAAGGGGTCGGGCCTTAGGTGTGACATTATTTGTGTGTGTGTGTGTGTGTGTGTGGGGGGGGGGGTCAGCTTTTTGTGACGATGTGTGACGAAGAGGAGGATTGTTCAACCTAGTTTTAAAAAGCGTGACTTCGTTTATGGTTGACGTGGTTTAACTTACGGACACAGTAGGATTTGGCCGTTGCCCCCGGTGATCAGGGTTGTGAGGTTCTCCGGACAAGAGGAGCACTCTGTCACAGCTGTGGTTACCTGGCCTGGCTGGTAGCTTCCCCTTGGACATTTCTGGCAGCTGGTTGTCGGCTCGTGCCAATAATAGCCCCTAGGACAGAGAACTGGTTGGGGGGATGAAGGAGGGAGGGTGTGAATAGAGCACGAAAAAAGACGTCGTAAATCTAAATGGTTTAAAAATGTAACAAGCACAAGAGTATTTATGATTATAAAACATCCTCTGTTATTCAATCCATTTGTTGCTGGTAATGCTGCTAGGGTCAGGGTTTGGATTAGGATTTAAGTCAGGGTTAAAATTAGGGTAAAGGCTCTGGATTATGAGCTGGTTTAGGGCTATCAGTACTGTCATTGTTAGTGTTGGATAGCTTAATCAGTATAAATATTTTGAAAATGTAGAAATTAAATTTAAAGGTATAAAACTCACGCACGCACACACACACACGCGCGCGCGCGTACGCACACACACACACATATATACAGGCTATATATATGTATATATATATATACACACACACACACATATATATATATATATATATATATATATATATATATATATATATATATATATACCTATATATATACATTATATATATATATATATATATATATATATGGTGAGGCAATACACAAGCGCGCCAACCTTAATACAGACATGCATATTATATGTACAACAGCGTCTATATATATTCGGTTATGTATATGATTACATAACAGACCATCGCAAACAGACAAACATAAATTATGTGATTTTTATATTTTACCCTCTGACTTGGCTACGCTTGAGCAATGGACCGTCAGAACCTGAAAAGTGTGTAGGTAAAGGTAAATATTCACAGTGTAGAACTACATAAGGCACATCTGTGTCAAGTCTGGCATTCATGTATACACGTTAGGTAGTCAGGTGTTAGATTATGCCAGTCATGTGCCAATGTCTGAAAGTCCTGTGTTATGTCTGTCTGTCAGTCCTGTGTCTATAGTCCTGTGTCAATGTTTGGCAATTACAATCCAGCGCCAGACTGAAATATTTATTTCTCAGTCACTTCCAAAAAAACTATGGCACCTGGCACGGGTCGCTCTATGTTCTGGGTCTTCTGGGTCTTATTATGTCCGGGTCTTTTAAATACCCGGGTCTTCCTATGTCCGGCCCGTCTTCTTATGGTCAAACTGTCTTTCTGTGTCTGTATCTTCCTATGCCTCGCCCTATGCCTCGTCTGTCTCCTTATGCCGGGATCTTCTTATGTCCGGATCTTCTTATGCTCGGGTCTACGTACGCCCATGTATCCCAATGCCCGACTATTCTTATGCCCGAGCCTTACTATGCCCGACTCTTCTTATGCCCGAGTCTTCTTATGCCCGGATCTTCTTATGCTCGAGTCTTCCCGTGCCCATGTATCCAAATACCCGAGCCTAACTATACCCGAGCCTTACTATGCCCGAGCCTTTAATGCCCGAGCCTTACTATGCCCGAGCCTTACTATGCCCGAGCCTTACTATGCCCGAGCCTTACTATGCCAGAGACTTCCCGTGGTCTCTGCTGTATATCAGTACAGTAACTGTACAGTGGCTGTACAGTAGCTGCACACCTTTTTTTTTCAAGAAAACAACAATTGTACTCACGCAGATCACGACAAGAATCCATCGGTCTACAACCACCATCGTGTAACACTACGTCATTAAAATTCACAGAAAAATATTCCACACTACACACTTGTATTATACAACTACACCTGTAGACTTCACCCAACAGGTCACATCATAGACATACAACCTGGTGTTCGCAGACTTAATGAGAACCTCTGGCACTGGCTGATACACACACCACTTCCTGGTTGCAAGCACTTGGGTTTGTTAAGGGCTGACGTCCTAGAGATTTCGGTTGGTAAAATAAAATTTAAAAAAAAAGGGGGGGGGGGTTGACTTTGGCTGGGGTGATATGAAGTAGGTTACTATTTGTTAATTTTTCTTTGTTTTTAACACTTGGATCTGTATAAATAAGAATTCTTGTCATACTTAACTATCTCTAAGATCTCCTTTCCACTTTATGGTTTCTTTTTAATGGGTCTACGACAAATTCCCGAAAGACATTAGCCCGAATGCCGTTTGCCCGAATGGACACCAGTGTTTTTTCTTGACTTTTTTTTCTCCGAGGGGGGGGGGGGGGGGGGGGGACTTGATATTTTCGGGGGGCGGTCAACATTTTTCGGGGGAGGGGGGCGGACACTAGTAAAAGTGTATGTTTACTATATAAATCCCATCTCGTTCGGGGGGGGGGGGGGGGCAGAGCCCCCGCCGAATAATCTTCTCCCTCCAACGAGTGTGACGTCATTTATGGACGACCCCCCATAAAACGTTGGACTTCTCGATAATCTCACAGTTATCAGCTACTAATGTATGCTACAATATTTGCAAGCAACGCTCCAACTCACCAGCTCACCTAATAAATGACTGGCACGGCCATGATTTCCCGTTGATTTTATACTATTTATAAATTTAAGAAAAAAGGATAAGTATATCAATAATCGATAGGATTGAAAATTAAATTAATTTTATATTTCAATGTGTTGCCATCACAGATTCATTCATGTGTCGAGTTTTAAATTCCAGAAAAAAAGCAACATAAAAAATGCGTTTATTTTTTCGTTGTTTATAGTAGACGTTGTACTTTTTAAATCGTTACATTGAATCAAAAGAAATGGAAGATGCACGACAGGCCGGATGTTGATATGACAATTAAAAAATCCCATTACTTCCGGCCAAATGAGGATTTGTGGCTTGTACACAAATGCCGTTTTATTGTCTACAGTAGGGAATATTATAGGTTAGTAGTCGAGTTCAATTGTGTAAAATGAAAAACGCCTGCTATTATTAAATAACAAATAATTTGTAATTTATTTTGATGTTAAAGTCTAGATTTATAATCTAGCGTCCAATATTTATTATTTAGACCTAGACTCTAGAACTCTAGATCTAGAAATCTAGAATCTAGATTTATTTTAATTTTATAGATACTAGATTCTAGGTCTAGAATCTAGCTAGATCTAGATTCTAGTAAGCAAGCGCTATCTTTTCTTTGAAATTATTAAATGATAGTTGAAATAGATGGGCATTCCAAGGTCTAAAGCTAAACATAGCCCGAGTAGCGCCCTATCCGGGGGGGGGGGGGGCGGAAGTAGTATGGACCACAACGTGTAACACCATCTAAGAGGGTGACACCAAATCGAAATCAAGCTAGTTTTAATGATAAAGTCTGCCTCTCACAGTTAATTTGATAACTTCTTAAAGTCGTATACATCATTGGGCACATGGTGACACCATCTGAGATTGGGGTGACACCTCGAAGATAGGGTGACACCAAAATAGCCTCTAGTTTTAGTACTTTAGATGCGGGCTCTATAATCGTTGTAACTCCACTGCATAGTACTACGCCTGAAACAATACCCCCCCCCCCCCTAAACTTGACGCTAATCCTGACCCTAATAACGTAACCGGCAAAAAAAAAAAATAAAAATCTCTGCGATTCCACTTTGTCTTGTCCAGGTTTTATCAGATCCCACCATCACTTGGTACGCATTGAATAGCCATCCCATACCGTACTAGCATTAAGGTTGCATTATCCTAAGCAAAGCCTTACCCTCATTAAAGGTTAAAGTGTCTTTATATCGTTAGGATCGTTATCGCGGAGTTCACATTCAACCAGTCTTTTTGTCGACCGGCTTGTTCCGGTCTTTGAATCTGCCGGTTTGTTCCGGTCTTTCCGTCGACCGGGTTCTTCCAGACTTTTCATCGACCAGGTTGTTCCGGTCTTTGGGTCAACCGGTTTGTTCCGGTCTTTGAGTCAACCGGTTTGTTCCGGTCTTTGAGTCTACCGGTTTGTTCCGGTCTTTGAGTCTACCGGTCTGTTCCGGTCTTTGTCTACCTATTTATTCCGGTTCTTGAGTCGACCGGCTTCTTCGTAAATGTTGTTTATCCTTGATGCGCATCGTTCGTATAAAAGTCCTATTGAAAAGCGGCTCACAACTATGCGGATGCTATATTCAGTTGCCCTATAGCATTACATTATCAAGTGTTGAAAGCACCGCGAGGCCACATTCAGTTGTCCAACACCGTTACATTATCACCTACTGATAGTGGTAGAGAGCTAGACTGCTATCCCGAAAGTCTCAAGTTCGAATCCGGGTTGTCAGTAGAAAGCGCCTAAGTCCACCCAGCTCTGATGAGTACTTAACTCACGTTAGGGGAAAAAAAACATAGTTTTGACCACATTATCCCTTCATATGCCGAGGTCTTTGAAACAGATGAACTCTATTTCATGTTTCTTTGGCACGAACGGGAAAAGATGACGATGATAGTGATGATAGCCGATATGGATAATACCGTTTATAATGACCTGACTAGTTAGGAAGGGGGGGGGGGAGATGAATTATTTTTTACATGCGAATATTAGGTCATAACGAGGTTCATACACACATACAGGTCAAACGGTAGCGCGCACGAACACTTGACCGAAAGTCTCGAGTTGGATTCACGCACTCGTGTCTCTAGGGCGTCCCGAGTCCACCCAACTCTGAAGGGTAGTTTATTTCAATCGAGGAAAGTCAAGGTTGCTGGGCATAGTGCCAATAACAGTATCACCCCCCCCCCCCCCCCTTTCATAGCCTGAGCCCGGAGATAAAGAATATTTACTTCACTTGTTCAGTGAAAGACGCTTGATAAAATTACAATGTCCTACCTGTGTTCACAGACAATACAATAATAGCTGTACCCCCCCCCCCCCCACCACCCCCACTGTTACGTTTAGTGTTTGATTATCGATCGACGTTACATGCTGTAAACAAGCGCGTTGTAAATTTTATGTGGCTTATAATTAGACTCTTAGCTCACAATTTACGGTCATGTTGTCAGGAGGGACAAAGACGCGAGGAATGGTAAGTAAATTAGCAGCACGAGGAATGGGATGTGTCATGGGACAAAATACACCTCTGACATTGACAGCCAGGCTTACAGGAGTCATTTGACATAAGCTTACAGGAGTCATATGACATAGGCTTACAGTAGTCATTTAATATAGACTTATAGGAGTCATTTGACATAGGCTTACATGAGTCATTTCACATTGACTAACAGGAGTCATTTGACATAGGCTTACAGTAGTCATTTGACATAGGCTTACAGTAGTCATTTGACATAGGCTTACAGTAGTCATTTGACATAGGCTTACAGGAGTCATTTGACATAGGCTTACAGTAGTCATTTGACATAGGCTTACAGGAGTCATTTGACATAGGCTTACAGTAGTCATTTGACATAGGCTTACAGGAGTCATTTGACATTGACTTACAGGAGTCATTCCACATTGACTTACAGGAGTCATTCCACATTGACTTACATCAGTCATTTGACATTGATTTACATGAGTCATTTCACAAAAGACTCTCAACAGCCATTTCACAATGACATTTCTACCACGAAAGAATTCTTCGACCTCAGTTCTGCCCGACACAATTGTAGTAAATTCTTCTACCTAGTTCAATGATCACCTTCCCACCTCTAAGTCCCTCACACAATGATTCCCCACACACCAACTTCACACCCCATAAATCACCCGCCGCCCCCCCCCCCCCCATAATCCACCCACAAACGAAACCTTCCCTAACCCACAAGCCAACCCTTCCCACATTCTCTTGCACTTCTCTACCAGCACGAATTGCTTCATGTTTTACCCACACGACTACCCCACATACCATTATTTTTCCATAGACCGCTGTAACTAATACTTTAAAAATATTTCTAGGTCCCTAATATACAAATTTCGTTATTTATAATTATAAACGTGCTAGCCTGAGGTGTCAGCCCATTCATCCAACCAATGTTGATGTCAACAATATATTGAAAACATAAAAATAAAAGGGAATGTTGTATAAAATATAGACCTATTTTAAATATGAGCTACAACACAACCCCCACTACATACATCACAGTATAATAAAACACCATCCCATCACTATATAATACTTACATGATCCACAACCCCAATGACTCAACCACCTCAACCCACTCACATTACCCCCCCCCCCCCCCTCCCACACACACACATACTGACAGATGTAGTAGTGATGACATATGTCACAAACTGACATGGCGTATACCCCGCACGCCACTACGTCACAAACACGACCAAGCTTCCCCATGACGTCAGTTGACCCGAGCACAATTTTATGACGTCACGCAGGGGTTCTCCTGCAACTCTCGTCACTGACCAGCGACGCGTGGGTGGTGCTCAAACGTCAGAAATGTTACACCGACTGTCCCGTGGGGGGTGAGGAGCAGCGCGAGGTGGTCCGGGCCGGCCTGTGGGGCGTCTGCTACACGTCTGAGGTCGGCTTTATCGTCAAGATTGTGGAGGACAGCCCGCCATACTGTGCCCAGTTTTATGATGACGTCATTCAAGGTGGGTATTTTGTGATGTACACGTCATTCAGGGTGGGTATTTTGTGATGAAGACGTTATTTAGGGTGGGTGTTGTGTGCTATAGACGTCATTCATAGACGTCATTCAGGTTATGTATTTTGTGTTTTAGACGTCATCCACGTTATGTATTTTGTGCTATAGACGTGATTCAGAGTGCGTATTTGTGCTATAGATGTGATTCAGAGTGCGTATTTTGTGATGTAGACGTGATTCAGAGTGCGTATTTTGTGCTGTAGATGTGATTCAGAGTGCGTATTTTGTTCTGTAGATGTGATTCAGAGTGCGTATTTTGTGATGTAGACGTGATTCAGAGTGCGTATTTTGTGCTGTAGAGGTGATTCAGAGTGCGTATTTTGTGATGTAGACGTCATTCATAGTGCGTATTTTGTGATGTAGACATCATTAATATTATCTGTAATATTTTATTTTCCTCTAGCTTTTTACTTTAACGCGTTACCATGATCTCTGTTGTTTGAATTTTTTATAAATCAATCGGACCTTCATCATTGACCCGTGTATCAATGACCCATGTACCAACCCATGGTTAGGTTAGGTTTGCCTGTCGTCCCTCCTGGGACATAGGCCGCTGACCCGTGTGTTAATGACCCGTGTATCAACGACCCATGTACCAATGACCCGTGTATCAAAATGACCCGTGTATCAACGACCCCCTTGCATGTCTTCCAGAGACCTGGATATTCCTGGCCCAGACCCTGACCATCTACAGCCTGATGCTGAGCGGGGTGGGCGTGGTTCTTGTCGCCTACACCAACTTGGTCGGCGCCAGAAAATGTCGGGCGCTCTCATTGGTCCTCTTCATGTCAGCTGGTGAGTAGACTGGTACGGTTTTTGTCGGGGTTTTGCGGTAGTCGTCGGTAGTTTGGGGTGCGTGACAGCGGGCAATGGCCGCCTTTTTTTTACTTCAGTGAGTCCATCCAGCTCTGAGGGGGGGGGGGATACATGTGTAAGGTTGTGGAAAGTTAGCGCAACAATATGCTGACTTCACAATCGCTTTATATTTCGAGGCCATGTGAAAGGAATTTTTTAAAATGTTCTAATAGCCAACTCGACTAGAAAGGGCAATTGGGCATAGATCTACCTACGTTCCATACTTATCTGAGGACATAATTTCTTTTTAGCATCGCCAGAAAGTCGATATGTTAAAGCACACTAAGACAACTACGGTACCGTATTCATACAGCAGTTAATGAAACAAAACTGTTTTTTTTTACAATATATTCGAAATTTCACAAAACACAACTCGCGTCTTAATGCTGCGCTGATAAAAATAGATCAAGTATAAAAATCCTTACAAAACAAGCTTTTAAATGCATAAAAAATTGTTTAGTATGTTAAACACACATTTTCTATAGCTATATCAGTCAGTTTTATTAACCGATGGGACATCAATATTTGATAGAAATTGTTACCTACAGGAGTTTGTAATTGTTTTTTTTTAAATCAATAAAAATAAAGTAACCGGAAATGGATCTTCTCCGTCCTGGTGCCCAGAGTTTCTTCCAGGCTTTCGCCCCCCCCCCCCCCCCGAAATTTTTTTACCGCTCCCCCCCCCCCCCCCCCGAACAAAATGAAATTTATATAATTTATATAGAAAATATATACTTTTAACTGTGTCCACCCCCCCTCCAAAGAAAGTCTACCCCCCCCCCCCCGAAAATTTCAAGTGCCCCCTCCCCCCCCCCCCCCACCCGGAGAAAAAAAAGTCTGGAAGAAACACTGCTGATGCCCCAAGTTTTTACTCTATTTCCTCCTCCAGGTGCCGCTGGCCTGCTGTCGGCTGTCCTCACCTACCACTCACTGACTAACGACTTCCTGTTTCCTCACCACGAGACCCCAACACTGTCTTTGATTGGCTGGCCGTTCTACCGAGCTCTTCTTGGTCCAATCATCGCAGCCGTATCTGCGGGGTTTCAGTTTGTCGTCAGGCTACAAAGACCAGTCTACTTGGGATGGCGGGTTGTTCCAGAACAGTGTTCTCTTGGCTGCGTAAGATAATGTTCCCGACTTGTGTTCCCTTGTCCGCTTAGGAAAACCTTGTTACCTCCTGCTCCCATCGTATCTGTTTGACCCATGTTACGACTAAACTAAACTGGCAGAAAAATTTATTTTAACAGCTTGCGTTGAAAACATAAACCATAATAAAATTTCACATACAAAAGACTCTTGTTTTTATTGTGTTAGTGAAATTTCACATGCAAGAAATTAAATTTAAGAGCAAACAGCCGAAATGTCTGAAGATTTAAATTTTCTGGATCGTGTTCAGATTTTTCTCGTTCGTTTTGTAAATTAGACAAACCATGAGATGGATGAGGGCCCCGTCGAGGTAGGCGTGAAACCCCCAACATTTGAACATTTCGTAACGTCCTGTGTCGTAATAGACCAGAAACTCCTTGGACATCATCACGTGGTAATACGTCACAGCAACCAGCCCCAACAAACCTGCAAGAGTTGGTCTTTAGAGTTGGTTTTTGTTTTAACAAGTTACAATTTTTTTAAAGTTGGAAGGGTTGGTTTTTGCTTTTATCACTGCCTTCATCATAATTCTACTCTATTTTGATGGGATCTCGCACTTTACCCACTCCCATAAATTATTCCCCCCCCCCCCCCACCCACCGGGCCTTTACCCCCCCCCCCCCTCTAGCCTTAGACCCAATCATAGCTGTGATACCAGCAGTGTTTCTTCCAGGCTTTTTCCCCGGGGAGGGGGGGGGGGGGCTTAAAATTTTCGGAATTTTTGCGGGGGGTGGGGGCGGACGGACACTTAAAAGTATATATTTTCTATATAAATTCCATTTCGTTAAGGGGGGAGGGCGGTAGAGATGCCTGGAAGAAACTCTGGATACCAGACTTTATTCAGGTACCCATTAGACTCAACTAGGTGGACTCACGAACGTTTTACCGACCAACCCGAGGTGGCAGTCGTGTGCTCTACCCCTCGACCATGTCGTCCCGTTGTGACATGGTAGACGTCTTAAAGTCTTGTGTGTATGTGTGGGTATGCGTGTGTGTGTGCGTATGTGTGTGTATGCATGTGTGCGCGCGCATGCTTGTTTATGTGTGTGTGTTTGTGTGCGTATGTGTGTTTGTCCGTGTTTATGTGTGTGTGCGTGTTTGTGTGTGTGTGCTTGTTTGTGTGCGTGTGTGTGTTCGTGCGTGTGTGTGTGTGACGTCACAAGAACGCATGCAACGGATGGCAGCGCTCACCACTCCACGCCAGCAGACGTCTCGCCATCCACACCAGACGACCCGAGCCGCAGCAGCAGCCGAACAGGGGCGCCAAGACACACATGACAAGACCCAGGGCGGACAGGGTGGGGCTCAGGGTGGATAGGACTTGGATGGTCAACAGCCATATGTCTAGGGAACAAAGGCTCTCATTACATAAGTCTCAGCTGATTACACGTGTTTCGTGATCACTTTTTAATTCACACAACACGCTGGAATATTTTTTTACACTAGTTTTATCAACAAGCGCACATTTTTTTTTCACGAATCTGCATCATGTAGGATATACATACTTAAAACCCCATAATTATTGATATACAACTACAACCCTCACATCACATAGGTCCTTGTCAACAGAAGAACAAATCTCTCAGGCTATTGACAACAAGCGTAAAACTCTCCAAAGCCTTTAAAAAACACTACTTTCACAGGCTTACAACAGTTAAATCACAACACTCATACGCCGTTTACAACTAAGCCGCAACTCTCCTTCATGTACTTTAACAACATACAGCTCTTACATTATAGAAGCCCTTGACGACTTGCTTACAATCAGAGGCGTAGCGACCCTTCCCGGCGCCCGGGGACATACTTCCAATTTGGCGCCCCCTCGAGAGCAAATTTTCGATTTGCACCCCCCCCCCCCTCGAACTTTTCATTTGCACCCCCCCCTCAAACTTTCGATTTGCACCCCCCCCCCCCCTCGAACTTTTCATTTGCACCCCCCCCCTCAAACTTTCGATTTGCACCCCCCCCCCCCCTCGAACTTTTCATTTGCACCCCCCCATCAAACTTTCAATTTGGCGCCCCCCCTAAGGTCGGCGCCCGGGGACATATGTCCCCCCCCCCGCCCCCCCCCCCCTCGCTACGCTACTGCTTACAATTCTAACATTTCATTTAATGCTGACCTGCACTTTGTTTACATGGGTGAGGTCAATAAAACAAGTGACCACCCCACCATGACATGTAGGTGGTCGAGTGGCCTAACTTGATACGAGTCCTTACAAAACTTAGCACAGTACGATAGTGTTAGGTGGTCGCGTTGCCTACGTTAGTGTGAGGTGTCCTAGCTACCTACGCTAATGTGAGGTTCAAGAGTTTCCAACGTCAATGTGTGGTGTTTGAGTTGCCTACGTAGTGTGTGTGGGTTGGGTTCCCTACATTAGTGTGTGTGGGTCGAATTGCCTACGTTAGTGTGTGGTGGTGGGGTACCTACGATAGTGTGTGGGGGGATCGAATGGCCTATTTTAGTGTGTGTATCTCTCTCTCTCTGGGGGGGGGGGGGTCGAATTACCTACGTTAGTGTGAGGTGGTGGGGTTACCTACGTTACTTTGTGGTGGTCAAGTCGCCTACCTTGATGCGAGTCCTCACTGAACTGAGCACAGTACGGTGCCGTGTGGTTGTCGGGGAAGTGCGGGAAGCTGTAGCACACGGACCACACCCCCGCTGTGGCCAGCTGCTCCCACCGGTGGGCCGCCCCCGTCCCCAGTGGCATGTGGTCGTCATCTCGGTAGAGCTTCTTGTGGACAGGGTTCCAGTAGGTCACCACGTACCGGTCCACTGTCACCCAGGAGCTGGAGGTCAAGGCCACCACCTGCAGAATCAGACCTGTAGAGAAAGCGAACGTGATAAAAAATGAGCAAAAAAGTACGGAAGGAACACTGTAACTAACGACCCGATCTTCACCTCCACCCCTTATGGTCACACTCCTTAAGTCACTCTCAATGTCAGACGCCAAGGATACCTCTTCCCCAATCCAAATATTATGAAATAAATCACGGCAAGGGAATTAAAAATGTAAATAACGTGTTTTTTTTTAAAATTTCATACTTACCTCCCTTTGAACATTTCTTACAGTTTCAGGTAGTTTTGTGTTCAGTTTAGTTTTTCCCCAATTATTTTAAGTTTCTAACCACCATTTCACCTAAACGCTCTAGTTGTAGTTGTGTACCACATGTTTTAAAAATAAAATGCTTAACATTTCCGGCAACAAAATCTTGTGGACGAGAACTTGACGTAAATTGAACCAGCGGGTTACACAAACATTTGTCAGCAGTGTTTCTTTCTTCCAGACTTTTTTCTCCGGGGGGGGCACTTGAAATTTTCGGGGGGGGGGGGGGCGGTAAACTTTCTTCGGGGGGGCGGACACTGTTGAAAGTATATATTTTCTATATAAATTATATAAATTTCATTTCGTTCGGGGGGGGGGGGCGGTAAAAAAATTTCGGGGGGGCTTCGCCCCCCCCCCCCCCCCCCGAAGAGATGCCTGGAAGAAACTCTGTTTGTCAGTTGTTTGTTCGTGCATGTTGAGCTGATGTTGCTAACGTAGGGCTATAGAACCATCAACTATATCACAATCGCAAGGTAAACAATAATCGATATATGTTCATATTGTTTTTATCTGACTTTAAGTGCTGGAAACTATCGCAGGAGCCCCGTGACTATCATTATCTATTTTATAAATATTTATTTATTTGGTCTTGCTTTAATACAATGTATTGGAGCCGATGATTCTGAGGCACCCCCCCCCCCTGCGTCAGTTATACGTTCATACGTCATATAATCAACGTCATCTTTTCTCTTTCGTGCCCAAGACACATGGGGCAGATGAAGTCGTTCCCCACGGCATTTGAAGGGATAGTGTGGTCAGCACTATAGCCAGCCGCCTTTGATTTCCTTAACGTGAGTTAGGATCTCAGAGCTGGGTGGACTAAGCATATAAATTAAATATTTTTTCTATTTCGTCTGGGGGAGCGGGGGTGTTGGACCTGAAAGACATCATTGTGGCAAGCTAATTGTTTAGACAAGTAATAGTTGAATTATCAGATCATTTACATGGCTTACCCACAAGCACCGTAACAGGGAGGCAGAGAAAGAGAATGTCTGCCGAAAGTTTGACAGTCATTGTTAACACAGAAACTCTTTCAAATATTTTTTCATTACTTTTCTTTTTTCGTTTGTTTGAGTTTACCGATGCATTTTTGTTTGCCTCTCTTCCTTGTTAGATCTACTATTTTGTTGTGTGCGTAAGTATTTGTTTTCTTAGAGATTAATCTTTTTTTAAATATGACGTCATCTAAGCTGGTATTTGTGAGTTGCCTTGCTTTGAAACCTTCATCTTCAGACACATACAATGGCGTTACACATCGGGGAGTGGAGGGGGGGGAGTTGCGATAATAGTGGTAAAATATATCAGCTATCTTTATCTCTCCCACCGAGCTGGTAACGGGGAGAGTTTTGACTTTATGGCTTACCGGTCTAACTGGCGAAAGGAAGCGCTCATGAAAAACTGAAAGAGATTTAATTTTGAAATTTTGAAAATTTTGAAATTTTCTTCGACGTGATATTAATTAATTGTCAAACATAGCCCTACAACAGTGGTTATGTTACATAACGTTTTAGCATTATTGCTTTCCTCATTTCTTGCATACAAATTCTTTGGTTTGTCTATTTGTATCGTATAAGAATAAGAGCAATAATGCTCCATCCCATAATGGGTCTTCATTAATAGTTTATTCACCATATTTATTGCTATTAGTGCACGTAAAAATATGTTGCCTGCCTTCGTAAAGTACTCGAACATGTTTTTAAAAGAATAAAGTTGTGAAGCTAAAAAAATTGGATGTAGATATATACAGATGTCAAAAAATGAAGTCGCGCACAGAAAAAAAGGGGGTGGGGTGGGTCTGAGTTTGTGACGATATGAATCTTGTGAAGAATAGGGGAGGGAAAATTTGATACGGGATTGTAAATTTGTTCTTAGAATGTAACATTACTTTCTAGTGTATGTGTGTAAAGGGGGAGTGGGTGAAAAGGACATAGGACTGTAAAATTTGTCCTTATTTGTTAAATAGACTAAAACTGTGTGATGCTGTTGAGAGCTCTTTTACTCACGTCATGACTCATCTATTCTGACACTGATAAAAACACGGTGTTTCCTAAACAAATACCCTGGATTGGAGAAGAGACACTTTTAATGATATCACCGCCAGCTGTTTCCAGTCATACGCCCCTGGCTAATTCTATTATTACAGTACAGGCTCGGAGAACAGGTTGGGAAAGGGAAAATGTGAGCTGTTTTATTGTTGTGACTAAAACCTGTTCACCTTGACCTTCTACAGTTACAGCGCCATGTGTTTGATCAACAGTTAACACGCTGAACGTTTTCTTTTACACACAGCAGAGTGTGTATGTGAGTGTGTGTACATAGAAAAAAATAAGTACGGTATTCTGTTAGGCCTATCGTCTGTGTTTAGAAACATACGCGGGGTGTTTGGTGGGACTGGCAGGTGTAGGAGTGTGTTGTCAGTAAAAAAAAAAAAAAAAACTCGGTGTACTTCTGTGAACACTAAACCCACTGATTTTTTTTTCTCTACAAGCTTCTATTGTTGTGTGTATGTGTGTAAAAAAAAAATCAATTCTTTAAGCTTTGATTCGACCTATAGTGTGTAGTTAGAAAAATGTGAGGGAGTGTGAGGGGGTGTGATGCCAGCTGCGTGGAAGGATATTTGTCACCCCACTGAACGTGAATGAGCAACATGCATTTTTAGTCGAGCATTTTAAAAAAAAAACCTACACTTATCGATCTGAAAAAAATAATTATTCACACTGCATTGATTACTTCAATAATCAGTCACATTTATAATACCGAGCCATCGATTAATAATCCGTGGGTTAGCTCCCCTGTGTTTGCTTTAAAAAAATAGACGGTTGTGTAATCGTTAATGGTGTTCCTCCAGGTCAACCTATTTACGGTGGTACTTACATTATGACAACCAGAGAACGGTGACTTAAAGGTTAGATTATTTTTTTAATTTAAATAAAATTAGCAATTTGTTTACTAACAATTTTTTTTTCAAATATCACCCTAAGATTCCTCTTTAAAAAATTCCATTATAGCACATTCACATTAAAAACTGTTTTTAAAAATGCCTCTAATAATAAAATATAAACACCAAACTGGAATCTACTAGATCTAGATAAGTCATATGTTTTAGAGTAAATATATTTTGAAAAAGCATTGATACCTTAACGGGCCTCTAACCAAACCAGACTTCATTAAGATTTTTTTTTTAAAGCTCGTTCCCTTAGGGCAGGCCTACTTTTAAATTGTGTAATGTCGGCGTTTTTATAAGAACCGTATGACTAAAACTCATAATTAGAGCATTTTATATAGGCATACTTTCATGGAAATTAGGCCTATATGTTTGATTATTCGAAATCTTGAGTCGTTTTTTCGGTAAATCGACGCAACTTTTCTTGGAACAGTTTTTGGTAGTTAGCTACACCAAATGCACAGCGTCATACAATGGGCAAGGAATGTCTCACGTAAGGCCAACATAAAGACACCGATGACGGTACCAGGAATAAACATTACTGGTACTGAATACACTATATTAATTACCGCGCTAAGCAAGGACTCATTATACGGTAATTATGGAGCAATAGATGACACAGCGGTGTGTTTATCAATACTTTGTGCTGGTGTAGCACAGTGTATTTGTAAGCTGCGCATGTAAGTAAGTTCGATTATCTTATCAGGTACTCGATTTAGCCCATTCATTAAATGCAATGTTTTGAGTAGTTTTCTGATTCTGAAACGGGGGGGGGGGGGGTGCCCATTATACAATGCAAAGGTTGCCTAGCAGATGGTTTATAATTAAAAACATAATATGTATTGTTTCGGTATATATGTTTCAGTACTATGTTTCATGTTGATGTTGGTATCGTTACAGCAATAGCTACGATACTAGCAGAATAAAAATACACCATATCCCACACACTGCACACTATTTTGACAGCCAATGTTGGTGTGTTCGGGGAAGGGGGTGGTTGCAATTAGAAGTGTTCGATAGGTTCTCCATACATAACTACCCGATTTCGTGGCTGGTGTTTACCCCTCCACAGATTGTCACAAACTACAACACTCTAAAATTACTTCCCATATTTACTCCCTGATGGCATAAATGTTTTCTTTTAAAAAAAATTTGTAAGGTTAAGGCTTAACCACCCCCACCCCCCCAAACCCCTTCATGTGGTGGTATACAGTGAGTCACAAAACTTTCTCTAGGTCGTCACATTTAAATTTACAACCCAGATAATCGATACTAAGTGAATGAAAATATTAAGTAGCGTCATTAGAAGTAGTGTTGTGATAGGAGTTTCAGACATCTCTTCTGGTGAGGGGGGGGGGGGGGGGGGGGGGGAGTCAATGGACCGCTGCTGTTTTGGTCCCACGGGCGTCGCTGCCTCGAAAAACACAGTAGCGTACCAGGAAGGATGCGGACCACACAGGGTGACACCATAAAAAAAAAAAACAATACTGTTTCCATGTCAATTAATTATTAACTAAACTAAAATATTTATAAAGACCTAATCGTCTATCCCGCTTTGCTGGTCGTTGGAGTCAATTCAGAGGCGTAGCGACCCCTCCCGGCGCCCGGGGACAAACTTTCAATTTGCCCCCTTCCCCCCCCCCCCCCCACATATATTTTTAATAATTATAAATAAAAACTGCAGCTCAAATGAGATTTTACTTTTTTTCTTCTTAGGGTCGGCGCCCAGGGGACATCAACACCCCCCCCCCCCCCGTCGCTACGCCTCTGATTCAGTTAGTTCTAGCTATCCAGACATTTTTTAAAAATATCTATCTCCTAATTGTATTTTTTTTTCTCTATCAGACAAACTGCCAAGTTAACGTCGTCCTGTGTTGACTGTCAGTTGACTATGTCAACTTCGAGTTGTTAACGTCTGCTGAACTCCAATATTGAGGTCTGCTCAACTCCTAACCCAGTCAACCATGAAACCAGACGCGGGCAGCGAGGCAGCCACGAATATCGTCCGATTCATTGTGTCCGTCGTCTATCGTCTGACGGTTAGCTTGGTCGTCGAGTTCATCAAAATTGGCGCGCTTTTGGCCATCACCGTCGGCAGCTGCCTAGTCCTTGGTGTTGCCTACGTCGGTCTTGTCGTCTGGGCGTACACCAGCCAGGGGGGGAGTTGTCTGGCTGCCGCGGGCGCCGCCGTCATCGGAGCTCTCCTGCTGGCCGGGGGAGGAAAGTTGGTGGAGTTCGTTGTCCGCGACCTGCTGCAGCTCACAGACCTGTCCTTGACCGAGTTTTTTCGCGCTGATCACCAAGGTCGTGGTCGGCAGGAAGAAGACCGGTTGCCATGGCGACCATGCCTCGAATGATCAATCGATTCAGGTCAGTAATTTACATTTTAAGGAAGTTGAGCATATTTTCGGTGTCTTTCTTTAAAAAAAAAATGTTTTCTAGGCTTTTTTTTTTACTACTGGCTAGTTACAAGTTTTGTGTTTTCAGGGGTATGGGCTAAGTAAGACACGCCCTGAGCTTGCTGTAAGTAAGCTTGTTGAATTAAAGCAGTCCCACATAAATCCCACCTATATTGGATCTAAGGGGTCATCCATAAATAACATCACGCTTTTTTGACGATTTTGTACCTACCCCCATCCCCTCCGTCACACATGTCACAAAAAGCCAGACCCCCCACTAAAATGACGTCACACCTCAGCCTACAACCTCCCCCCCCCCCCCCCCCCCTCAAAATTGCAGTTGAATGTTTCTTAAAAAATCGCTATTTTTCCAAAATATTGTCTGAACTCTGTCAACATAGAGTATTTTAATAATTTCCAGTTACAATTTATTAAAACAGTTTTTAAAACGCTAAATAACGGCTAAAACTAGTTTTCTAACATTGCTTTTTTATAATGCAAAAGTGTGACGTCACACACCTAAACCCCCCCCCCCCCCCCCCCCCACCCCATCATCACACACCATCACAAAGTTACGGACCCCCCTCCCCCCTTCGAGTTTGACGTCATTTATGGACGACCCCTAAGTAGTATTACCGGTCGGCATTTGTGTTCAGTGTAAGATAAGCCTACCACTTGAAAAAAAGTTTGATGAATTGGGATAATCTGTGAGCACACACCACGAGCCAGCAAGCCGTGTGTAAGTAAACATAACACAATAGCTTGGTGTGTTACGTAGATATCACACCGGCTTGTTTATTTTTTTACTGTGCTAGATCTGCGAGGCAAGATAAAGATACAATTGTGTTTTAGATAACAAAATGAAATGTGGTATCATTTGAAATACGTGGTCCGTAAAGTTGATGTGGTATAATTAAAATCACGTCATCCGTTAGGTCATGATCGAATTCTAGTAGGTCACGGTGCAAGTTATCGAACTGTTTTAATACTCATACAATCACACGAAGGTAATATGCGATTATGACCATAAATAACATCCCATGCATATGTGAAGGGGTTAGGCTTCTGTCATGATGGGCTATGTTGGGAGACGGGGTTACAGAAATGCTACGTAGCATATCTTTTGAATTTCTTAAGTATATCATTGATGAAACAATGTAATTATCACTATTTATGTGTTGGGTGCGAAACTTAGTGACGTCATTTTAGAATTAGAATGTCCGCCATGGGACGGGGGTGGGTAGAAAGTTGGCTAAATAGCTTATCGTCATTAAAAAAAAATAATTCCGCTGATGTTAAATAGTAGTAGTAGTTAGAAGAAAGATAGTTTTGGATTTCCTCTTGTAGATTTTTAATTAGGCCTACGGGAACGTCCCTGAGTTCACCCAGCTCTGATGGGTACCTGACTCATGGAACGTAAAGACGACTGGGCATAGTGCTGACCACACTGTCCCTTCATAAAAACACGCGAACTCTACTTCTCTTGCCCCATGGACCGTCAGGTTCGAAAGAGAACGTGTCCAGTCCGTCTTTACAGGACTATAATTTAGTCCTACTACGACGGTCACATTGCAGGGGATACAACTCAGTGCAAAATGTCAGTAGTTTGCAGTCTGGAATTATTTCCCTTGTATCATATAGCAGGTTTTGACTTAATAATAGTGTCATAACGGTAAGGTGGGTGTGATGTAATTGGCTACAATTGCAAAAAATTTAGCCGACATTTTATTTAAAGACACCCTCGCTGCTTCCCTAGGGCTAAATTATTTAAAGAATAACAAATAGTAGGCCCTAGTGTAAGCTAAGTATGTTGTAAGTTAAGCAATCGGTAGCAAGTGTTCAATCCACGATGTCGAAGTGATTTTTCTTTTTTTTTTTAGTGCTAACATTTGTCCAAAAAATTTTTTTCTATGCCAGAATTCGAAGAAAGAAAAGTAAGCCAACAAATTCTCTCATCAAGATCAGCAGCAGAACCATTCCAGCACCAAAGCCTTCAGCATCAATATTTTCTTATTTATAAACTTAAAATTTCATGTTTAAAACAATGAGGTAAAGGTAAACATGTTTTAATTTCATAGAGAAAAAATATATATAAAAAACCAGCAAACTGACTTACTATATGGTTTCTTGAAGAACAGCTACAAGGGTGGATTTTTATTTAAATCATTGATTTCAGAGCATGAAGTGAAAAGTTTAAGTTTTTTTTAATTGATTGAAGTACGTCTGACTTTCTGAACATTTTGCCCCTTAAACAGAGGGCATTTATTTTCGAATGTGACGTTTTCTAATACTTTTATGCAAACTTAGTGCTCTATATCATTGTATGTCTACTTAATGTGCCTTTACAAATTGATTACAATCACATTAAACTTGATCCGGAGAACCCCCATATGAGGGGAACATGAGGTCAGCAACATGCACCTAACTCATGTCAGGTACCCATAATAGCTGAGTAAAGTCAGGGATACTCGGTGGACTCTACCATTTGGTCAGACATTAGAGCATACAACTGCTACTCTGTAAGTCTCAAGTTTGAATCCATCCAGCTCTAATGGGTACCTGGCTCACATACAGAAATTAAAGGTGACTGGGCTTAGTTCAGACCATGTATCCCTCCCATGCAGAGGTACAGGGAACTTTATTTTATTCAGCCTTTGTTGTGAATTCAACAATATAGTCCTTTTGGATGATTCTAATGTAGATTGATGCCAGTGCAATAAATAACTGCTTTAAAAGACCTTTACACAAATATTAATATCATGTATCATTTTTACAATTCAACACAGAATAATTTGTACTTGAGTTTTATTTTGACTTAGACTTATACAGTTAAAGTACTTTTCTTTGCTTTAATACAAAAAAAAATCTGAATACAGGAAGGAAATGCCAGATGCAATGCCCCATGTATAGATGACACAATGTACTTGTTCATGTAAGAAATATGATTATTCTACAGGCTATTTTGTGCATAAGCAGAAAATTAAAAAGGATATGTGTTTACATTGTTCATGTCATAATAGAAAATAATGAAGACCTCAATAAAATAAAAACCATGCATACATTTCTAGTGGTGATGTTTTATCATTCTTTTCTGTAAATGCATAACTCTTTAAGGTCAAAACACCATTTACAATTATTAAATATTATATTCTATAAGACATCAGGAAACTAATTTTATTACATTGTAATGGAAAAACAAATTGTAAAAATATGAACACAATAGTAGTATGGACATGGCACGTTTTCTAGCATAATGGGAGAACTTATAAACAATACTTCATATAATTAATACATTCTGAATGTAAAGATACATTAATGCCGTTCTTGTACAGAAGTAAAGAAACATCAATGCCCAGTCAGGTAGCCCCTTACACTTAGAACAGTTAAGATGAGCGGGTCTTAAAATGTCCCCATAATTTGTTAGTGCAAATAATGTTTAATGCCAAGGTGGAAAAGGCTAAAAGCAAGAAGCTCTGATTAAAACAGACTCTAACAAAATAAAATGACATTAACTATTATGAAAATTAAATAATCATCAAAGCAGAACAATACAAGGCAGTCACATTTCTTCTATATGCTCTAAAAATGCTGCCCACAATCAAACAGACTGTCACACTACAGGTGTGAATATGCAGAGTGAACAAATAAAAAGTAGGCAGAATCTGTTAAAGTACAAGATCTACTTCCCAAGTTTATAATCTGGGCACACCAAGTTCTTTCATTAGGACTGAAGATACACTATTTCAGTGCACTGAGGATGTCAAGTGAGAACAAATAAAAAGTAGGCAGAATCTGTTAAAGTACAAGATCTACTTCCCAAGTTTATAATCTGGGCACACTAAGTTCTTTCATTAGGACTGAAGATACCAACCATTTCAGTGCACTGAGAATGTCAAGTGAAATCAAATGACCTGAGATCATAAGCCAAACAGCTGTATATCCGCAATTGGCTAGTAATGCCAAACTACAACCCAATGTTAGCTGTACCCACACAAGATTTCCTGTCTTCTTGTTTCAAAAGTTTCTTTCATTGTGTCCAGATCAAAATTCGCATCAAGTAGCTGAAATTTAAGAACAAAATATTTAAATCATAATTGAATATTTTTGATTAAAACGAGTCAAATAATGATCTAATTAATTTTAGTACTACTACATTAATATTAATTCATTTAACATAATGTCAATGGCCTACCAAGACTGGCGCAGGTACAGGAAATTTCTGCTTTAGGAGCCAATCATCATACAGTTTGTGAAGAGACTCAACAAAAGCCTGGAATATTTGACAGCAATTAGCCATGGAACTAAATACAGAGAAATATAATGTACCATTATTTAAACTTGTATCAACATATTTAACAGTTATATGAAAGCAATAGTAATTGCTACTTGTGAGATACTCTGTTAACTCTATAATTTGTATTAAGTATACAGCAAACCACTCACAAATGGCACTCCAACTTCCTCTCTCCTACATCTTTTCTTCAGACGTTCATAGCAGTTTTCAGGGCTGGCTCTCAGATAAACTAAACAAAATAGAATTTAGACATTGGAAATGTGTGTTGTTACTCTACAGACGTTGAAAGGCTGTAACTTGATCATTCACACAAGCGTAATTAAAAAGTGTTAAGTGAAACATTTAATTAACACATTTTAAAAATAAAGCTAAAATTTTAATTTTTATACTACTAGACATAACATACAAGAAATTGTATTAACGGTTATCATCATATTTTCCTATTCGTACCCAAAACAAATAGGTCAGATGAAGTAGAGTTCATCTGCTTCAGAGATTTTAGTAAAGGGATAGTGTGATTAGCACTATGTTCAGCCACCCCTGTTTCCCTTACATGAGTTAGATACCAATCTGAGCTGGGTGGACTCAGGGGCGTTCTACTGACTTGAACCTGGATTCAAACTCGAGACTTCTGGGTTAGCAGTCTAGCTCTCTCCCGCTAGCCACACTGTCCCTACTATAAAACAGCACATATCTAATTTTGCCTGTCAATAAATACAAGTTTACTTTCCTTCACAAAGCAGGCAAGTACTAATAATGTTTTGAGAGAGTTTTTATTTAATAAATCTGGTTATAAAAATAAGACTGATAATTATAAATAACAACAATAAACATTATGTATTGAAAGCCCAACAAACCTATCAGATCAACTGGAGCATTCCCAGATGAAACAAGATAATCAAACCACTGGTTCAGGACAGAATACTCAAAGCCATTGATTGTTTTACTGTCAGATAAAAACAAAATGGCATCAACAAAGGCTATTTCTATGTACAGACAAAACAACAGGTTAACATACACCTACTTATAATTTTACCAAGCTAAGACTGAGTAAAAGTGTTAACTAATGAGGCAAAATGTTTAAAAAGGGAACTTACTCCAGGTAACTGTTCTGGACAAAACAATAACGAGTGCTGTACAAAGATCTTTCCAGCATTTTTATTGGCCTTGACTGGGATAGGGTAAAAAAATTGTTATTCAATATTTATAAAATGAGGCAATTAGTTGAAGAACACTGAATATGGTTGTAACATTTAACACTTAAATTAGGAACTATTTTTTATGTATGTGTGTACTTGTAAAAAGAAATAATGCAACAATAATGGAATCTTCTTAAATAACGAAGTTAGGTTAATGGTAGGAAAATATAAATTAATATATCTTATTAATATCAATGCTAATGCTATCCCTAATCTAAGTCCTAAAATACCTCCAACCCCTTTTTTTCAGATCCTAACACTAAATCAGATATTCTACTTTTAATAACATTTACAAGCCTAACACACCTATTGTTGGAACAGTCCATTGTCTGACAATTGTAACACTCAGGGACAGGATAGCTCTAAAGAACATATTAGAAGACACAACACTTAATTCAAGAGAACTTACAGGATTGTGGGGCTGGTTGTGCATCTGTACTCTAGTCAACTGAGCAAACATATTGAAAGTGAAACTCCAGCGTTCTGAATCTTCATACAACAAAGCCTGCAAAAATGAAAAAATTAATTTGTTTCCAGCTGAAATGCAAGAATTTCACACCCATAATTAAATGTAAACATTTTATGTCACAAATATCAAATCTGATAAAATTATTTGTACATACAAGTGCATTATGCCCCTTGATATCTGTCCACTTGTCCAAAGGTTCTCCAATTACCTGAAAACACAGATGTTTCAGGATCTTAGAGAAGGCATATGATTTGAAGAAAAATCCACCCATCCTATCCATTTAACTTCAACTAAGGACAAATAATACCTTGAGAAACAGTCCAGATGATAAAAATGTGGCTCTAAATATATATTATTTTGCTTTATAAATACCGTGTGGCATACCTGACAATATGGAAGCTGTTGGAAATGCTGGAGCAAGGTTGTTTTGCCACTTCCAATGTTACCTTCTACAGCAATCTGAGAGATAAAAGTATTTGTTAACTTTTTATCAACATTACTAAATCACCACTATGCATCTATTTATCTTCAATGACTTTACCATTGGACAGCATGAATACAGCAATAGATCAGTAGCATATAAATACCAGGGGAGTTAAGGTTAAATGGTAGAGGGTTGGACTGCTAACTTGAAAGTCTCGAGTTCTGATCCTCGGCTAGAATCCCTGAGTCAAACCAAATTCTGATTGGTACATGACTCAAGTTAGTTAAAGCAAGGGTGGCTGAGCATAGTGATGACCACTCTAGCTATTCATAGGCAGAGATTACAGAAACATGCAACCTCTACTTCACCTTCCCCATAGACTGTCAGGTTTTAAAAGGATCTTTTTATTAATGTACTGTATTTACTGTCTGGTGGTTGTTCTAAAGCAGCTAGCGCCCTTCATTAAAATTAGGAAATTATTTTAACTCTACTACTATTCTCAGTGTATCCTTCAACAGTATTTATACATTTAGGTCTATATTTACAATGAACAAATGATAATGCTGCTTAATAATTAATAATAAATAACCCTTTCTCCAATCCAATTATTTTAAGATGCTGAGGAAAATATTTTAAACTTACGGTAAACTTGGTTTTGTTTGAATGTGGAAGATGCTCTTTTAATTCTGAAAAATATGGAAATTTATACAAAATTTATAGGCCCTACTAATTACTTTAGATCTAGAATCTAGACTATTCTATAGTATAGGACCTAGAGATCTAGGCCTATATTATTATTATAGACCTTTTTGAAAAAAAAAATGTAGGCTATAAAAAATTAAATTTAAATAAAACATAGGCAGGCTAGGCATAGGCCCACAGTTATCTTCGAAGACTATAGACCCTACTACTTCTTAGGCCTTAGGCACTCTTAGCCTAGGGCTAGGCCTTAAATTGGTCTTTTTAAATATATTAAATATTTAATATAGGCCATTATAGGCCCTAGATCTATATATAGATTCTATATATAGATATAGATATAATTAGATTTAGATCTAGATCTGGCCCTAGTTAACTAGGCCTTATTATTATTAGAATATTAGATTCTAGTCTAGATTTCTAGATCTTATATTAATTAAGGTCCAACTTTTTAGGTCCATCAGTCACCAACCTTCTAAATTCATTGCTCTAATTTTGATCAGGTTTTTACTCCTGGGTTGGTGTCTTTTACTACGTAGACCTAATGTCAAACTAGTCTTAGGAGAAGATAATAAACGGGCTTGAATATTCCGCCAAACTTGAGCTGTATAAAAGTTGTTTAGTGATGCAACCATTTGCTCCGATGTCGTGTCTTTATTCCACTTTTGGCGGCATCCTACAAACTATCCGCTAGTTACATTAGTCATTGGTCATTTTATCACACAGTAATGCAATTTTCAGTCCAGATGTTAGTATGCTTTTATTTATTTTTGACCAGTCTACAAAGATAATCAATACATTGCTCGCGTGCAGGATAGGCCAAATAACTTGCTACTACGCAATTTTTAATAGATTCTCTAAATAATAAATTCGCAAATAAATTCTCTTTCTAATCGCGATGAAAATGACAGATGTAGAAATCTATAGCCTAGTCTAAATCAACAAAGAACTGTTCACTAAGTTATCTAGATCTAAATGCATTAAACTATAGGCTAAATTAGTACACTTAATAAAATCAAAATAATGCGCCCGGTAAGTCAACAAAATTGCAATATTATTGATTTCATATAGATCTAGAATCTAGAGATCTAACACACTATAGAAGAGTGTAAGTATAATCACTATAATGTGATTCCAGTGGTAAACAAGCTGCAAAATTAAAACACAAAGATTTTTCTTGAATAAGAAATCTAATAATTTGAAATTTTAAAGCAATGCATCTTAATGACTTATTTTTCTATTTCTCAAAGTAGTCTATACATTTCTCAGAGAATACCGAATAAAGTTGTTTTTAAAAAAGAGTAATTACTACTAGAATCTAATATGCTAGAATACAAGTCTGCAGTCTACATCTAATTTTTAAAACGTGCATTACACTTTTTTTTTAAATCAGGTTTTTTTAAAAAGATTCCAGATGAGCGGAATTTAATTAGTCTAATCAGTACATGTTGACACATGAGTCATGAGTGTGTTTTGATGACACTGATTTACAGTAATCGGAACTAACTTCTATGTTTGCCGGCAACTTGTATCGAATTTAGTTTTGTTAGTAGATCTATCGCTCTCCCCTAAATCTGGCCTTGTCTATAATCATAACGATACCGGCAGGGAAAAGAATCGATGTACGTAAGGACAGGCGTGCAGTCGTACCCTCGCTCTGTAGCTTAGTTAATTAACAAATCTCTGACCTATGGTAAACGTTACTTAATGTTATATTCATCATATTTTCTCATTCGTGCCGAAAACTGTTTTAATAATCACGGCAATAGCATGCAAGGGGGGGGGGGGGTCAGCACTATGACCGCCTGGGTAGACTCAGGCATGTTGTACAGACTGGAGTTCCTGATCCAGTCTCAGAAGTTTAGCGTTAGCAGTCTAACGCTCTACCACCAGACCACGCCGTCCCCACAACATTATATTGGTGGTGGGAAAAAAATTGTATTACAGGCCTATACGGTGTACCCAATCACTTGGTCGGGTTATCAAACGTGGGGATTATTGTGTGGGACGGTGCAGTGGCGTAGCCAGGATCGTCTCAAGGGGTGGGGCAATTTTTACCCGGGGACAAACTTTCGATTTGGACCCCCCTCAAACTTTCCATTTGCCCCCCCCCCCTCAGACTTTTGATTTGCACCACCCCCTCAAACTTTCGATTTGCACACCTCCCCTCAAACTTTCGATTTGCACCCCCCCCCTCATACTTTATATATATATATATATATACCGAGGGGTCTATGGGGGTTATGACCCCCCTAACCCCCCCCCCCCTGCCTACGCGACTGGGATGGTGTAGTGGGGGGGGGGGAGCTATTGAAACCCAAAGTATCTGATGTCGGTTCTTAGGTCCAGTCTGTTAGACGAACCAGCAAGGTGTTTTATAGGCACGGTGTTAGACGAATCAGCAAGGTGTTTTATAGGCACGGTGTTAGACGAATCAGTAAGGTGTTTTATAGGCACGGTGTTAGACGAACCAGCAAGGTGTTTTATAGGCACGGTGTTAGACGAACCGGCAAGGTGTTTTATAGGCACGGCGTTAGACGAATCAGCAAGGTGTTTTATAGGCACGGCGTTAGACGAACCGGCAAGGTGTTTTATAGGCACGGTGCTAGACGAACCGGCAAGGTGTTTTATAGGCACGGCGTTAGACGAACCGGCAAGGTGTTTTATGGGCACGGCGTTAGACGAATCAGCAAGGTGTTTTATAGGCGCGGTGTCTTCATGCACTCTGGTACTCCTGCCTTATCGATTCCTTTTTACAGATCTATACGTGTCAAAAGCTTCCATTGGTGCGTAAAATCATTCATGGTGTGAAACGAGGCTTTTTAAAGATAGTGTGTAAAGCACTAACACACTGAAGAAATTAATTAACGGATAGGTGTGTAAATGTGTGTGTGTGGGGGGGGGGGGGTGGAAGGTAATGTTAAAGCCATTAACATTTAAGAGCTTTCTGCAATTTCGTAGGTAAAAAATAGAATGCTAAAAACTATTCCTTCAGTAGCGATGTCTCAAGTGGTTAATCTTAATTGACGGATCACCTAAAGAGTTTAGCGAGAAAGAGGCGTAGTGACTCATCTCGCCGCCCGGAGAGCTTTTATTATGATTTCACAAATTTGAAAACAGTCAGGAAAGCAAAGCAGAGGTCTCTTCTTTCTGGTATACGAAGTACACAGAAAGTGTTGTAATTTTGCAAAAAAATCGAAATTGAGATTTTCTCAAATCTCAACGTCGGAAAAAATTTGGTTGTGCAATTTTGTCTGTGTGTCTGTAAACACGATAACTTGAGTACCGTTTCAGTTATGTTGACGTAATTTAAAACATAGGTATTATACCAAATTTGTAGTTCTATATAAACTTTTGAACAATTTCTGGTAACCGGAAGTGGTACTTACTCTTATTCCGGTTTGTGAATATTTGCGAATTCGTATGATTGTGTATGTGCGTCTGTGTGTTTATGTGTGCGACTTAGTGTGTGTTTTGGGGTGTCTGTGTGTGAATATTTTCAAATGTGTTTGATTGGTGTGTGTGTGTGTGTGTGAGAGAGAGAGAGAGAGAGAGAGAGAGAGAGAGAGAGAGAGAGTATGTTTCAATGTGTGCGACATGGTGTGTGATTGGTGTATGTCTGTTCCAGGGCCACAATTTACTAAACTGTAAATACTTCACTAAATGTTACTCAAATACTTCAGATGAATAGTTTTAAATACTTCACTAAATGTAACTCAAATACTTCAGATGAATAGTTTTAAATACTTCACTAAATGTAACTCAAATACTTCAGATGAACAATTTTAAACGCTTCAGTAAATTAACTCAAATACTTCAGATGAATATTTTACTGAATTACTGGTAAGCGGGGGGTTTGGGGGGGGGGGGGGGTGGGTGGGGGGCTTTGAACACAGGGACTTCTTCTGTAAGTGATTTACGCCTATGAAGCATATAGGTCTGTTTAGTTTAAATATGCATAACAATAAATTTTATTTAATCTAAATTTATTTGCATACTTTTATAGCAAGACGTAGTCATTTTAAAATGTGGTTATAAAACAATCATGAGTTTTGAAAAAAAAAATATTGCAAATTGTGGAAGAATAGAATGAACACACAAAAAAAAAAATCACAGACAATTCCAGAAGAGCTGTTTACCATAAGGATATCTACGTAGTAGATCGGTTTATATTTCTTCTAAAAAAGAATTTCAGTTTCTCGAAGTTCACTTTTTTTTACAGTTGATCACACAAGTTGAAAGACTGTAAGATGTGTACATTGTACACAGGTGATGTTACAACAACAGTTTATAAAGAAAATATATACAATGTTGTGTACAAAAAGGTAATAAAAAAATTAAAATAGCTTTCGGAAAACCTTTGTTATAGGCAATACATTTTTATCAAACGTACACAAATTAATAGTTGTCATGTCAACATTTTATACGCAGTAGTATCATCAAACAAAGACAATGTTTTAATTTAATGGTGCAATAACTATTAGCTGATTAATCGAAACTTATAGTAAACTATTAATTTAATCTTTTTTTTTTAATTTGAAAGTAGAAAATCTGAATAGGATTCCAGTAAGTAAAAATAATTGGATCAGCCACAAGGTCATTTAAACATGCCAGTTGGGCGATGGTAGGCTCTACTACATATCACCTTAAACTCAGGGGTTGATGTGTAGATGTTCATACCCTATAGTGAGTTATATTAGCCAGCTTCAGATAAGTGATACGCCTAGAGAAATGGTAAGCATAGAGTAGTGGTAAGCATAGAGTAGTGGTAAGCTTAGAGTAGTGGTAAGCATAGAGTAGTGGTAAGCATAGAGTAGTGGTAAGCATAGAGTAGTGGTAAGCATAGAGAAGTGGTAAGCATAGAGTAGTGGTAAGCATAGAGAAGTGGTAAGCATAGAGTAGTGGTAAGCATAGAGAAGTGGTAAGCATAGAGTAGTGGTAAGCATAGAGAAGTGGTAAGCATAGAGTAGTGGTAAGCATAGAGTAGTGGTAAGCATAGAGAAGTGGTAAGCATAGAGTAGTGGTAAGCATAGAGAAGTGGTAAGCATAGAGTAAGTGTAAGTATAGAGAAGTGGAAAGTATAGAGTAGTGGTAAGCATAGAGAAGTGGTAAGTATTGAGTAAGTGTAAGTATAGAGAAGTGGAAAGTATAGAGTAGTGGTAAGCATAGAGAAGTGGTAAGCATAGAGTAGTGGTAAGCTTAGAGTAGTTGTAAGCATAGAGTAGTGGTAAGCTTAGAGTAGTGGTAAGTATAGAGTAAGTGTAAGTATAGAGAAGTGGAAAGTATAGAGTAGTGGTAAGCTTAGAGTAGTGGTAAGCTTAGAGTAGTGGTAAGCATAGAGTAGTGGTAAGCTTAGAGTAGTGGTAAGCTTAGAGTAGTGGTAAGCTTAGAGTAGTGGTAAGCTTAGAGTAGTGGTAAGCATAGAGAAGTGGTAAGCATAGAGTAGTGGTAAGCATAGAGTAGTGGTAAGCTTAGAGTAGTGGTAAGCATAGAGTAAGTGTAAGTATAGAGAAGTGGTAAGCATAGAGTAGTGGTAAGCTTAGAGTAGTGGTAAGCTTAGAGTAGTGGTAAGCATAGAGAAGTGGTAAGCTTGGTAAGCTTTGAGTAGTCGTAAGCATATATTAGTGGTAAGCATAGAGAAGTGGTAAGCTTAGAGTAGTGGTAAGCTTAGAGTAGTTGTAAGCATAGAGTAGTGGTAAGCTTTGAGCAGTGGTAAGCCTAGAGAAGTGGTAAACATAGGGAAGTGGTAAACATAGAGAAGTGGTAAACTTTGAGAAATGGAAAGACTATGCAGATGCAGATCATATATCTCATAACGCCGCTCTTTTAATTGTATATTAACTTTAGTTACAAACGTGTCATGTACATGTATACCAACAAATAACATTTGTTTCGATGTGGTTTATACACCAAAAAGTGTACAAAGTACAATATAAATAACAGTTTACGCATACGTAATGTGTGAAAGGGATCTTTAACCCAAACAGCCTTTAGCCAAATAGGTTGACAGCGCAAGGCCAAAATAATCCAGTTAGACGAATGTTTATACCAAATGTTCTCCAATTAGACAACTGCATCTCGGTGATTAATTAAATTGTCAATAACTGGCGATGCCGTATGGACCAGAATTTGCTATATGGGTCAGCGTGTTGCATGGGTCAGCATATGTTTCACGGGTCAGCTACCAATCATCACACCTTGCTGACCACCTCACTGATTGTGGTGTACAGGCTGACCACGCTGGCGAGGACCCCAAAGACGACGATGACCACGTCCTTCACCTTGATGCCCAGGGACAGCTCGTGCCAGCGAAGTTTCAGGTGAAAAAGGCAAGGTAAGATGTAGGCGAGCACCGAACTGCCGACAGCACCTGCAACCAGAAGAGAATATCTCCCAGTCAGTGTAGTGTTATTTTTAGGTATCTCTCCGGGATATGGGCCCATGGGGTGGGGGGGGGGGGAGGGGGGGGGAGGGGGGACGGAAGAAGTGGGGTGGAGGCACTGCCCCAATCGGGGCACGTCTATCCCTCCACCCCACGCCTTTCCAATCTTCGACGAAATAAAATGACATTCATATATAGATATATACTTTAACCATTCCCCATATCTTTCAGTTTCAACTACCCCCCCCCCCCCCCCAACGCGATAAAAATTATATTCATTAGAGTAGATTCTATCAATTATTTGGGATTCAATATATATGCTTTTAAAAATATATGCCGTTGTTTCATTTGTGCTCAAAAAAAAAATATCTAAAACTAGTAAAACACAAACATATAAACAAATGGTAACTCAAGCTTAGGCCTACCTATGAATACCGTAACGTAGGCGAAGAATGGATGCCGTTGTTATATTTGTGCTCAAAACAATAATAAACACAAAAATATAAACATAGGGTTACTCGAGCTTAGGCCTACCTATGAATGCCGTGAAGTAGGCGAAGAAATCTCTCGTCAACACTGCAATCCCAGCAGCTAACAGCACAATGATGAGTCGCAACAGGTTTCTCTTCCACGTGGGAACCTGCATGAAACATCACAAGCGTGAGTACATTTGGTAGTAGTAGTTACACAGGCGTGAGTAGATCTAGTAGTAGTAGTTACACAGACGTGAGTAGATCTAGTAGTAGTAGTTACACATGAGTGAGTAGATCTAGTAGAAGTAGTTAAACTTGAGTGAGTAGATCTAGTAGAAGTTACACAGACGTGAGTAGATCTAGTTGTAGTAGTTACACAGACGTGAGTAGATCTATTTCTAGTAGTTACACATGAGTGAGTAGATCTAGTAGTAGTAGTTACACAGACGTGAGTAGATCTAGTTGTAGTAGTTACACAGACGTGAGTAGATCTATTTCTAGTAGTTACACATGAGTGAGTAGATCTAGTAGTAGTAGTTAAACTTGAGTGAGTAGATCTAGTAATAGTTAAACTTGAGTGAGTAGATCTAGTAGAAGTTACACAGACGTGAGTAGATCTAGTTGTAGTAGTTAAACTTGAGTGAGTAGATCTAGTGGTAGTAGTTAAACTTGAGTGAGTAGATCTAGTTGTAGTAGTTAAACTTGAGTGAGTAGATCTAGTGGTAGTAGTTAAACTTGAGTGAGTAGATCTAGTAGTAGTTAAACTTGAGTGAGTAGATCTAGTAGAAGTTACACAGACGTGAGTAGATCTAGTTGTAGTAGTTACACATGAGTGAGTAGATCTAGTAGTAGTAGTTAAACTTGAGTGAGTAGATCTAGTTGTAGTAGTTAAACTTGAGTGAGTAGATCTAGTAGTAGTTAAACTTGAGTGAGTAGATCTAGTTGTAGTAGTTAAACTTGAGTGAGTAGATCTAGTAGAAGTTACACAGACGTGAGTAGATCTAGTTGTAGTAGTTAAACTTGAGTGAGTAGATCTAGTAGTAGTAGTTAAACTTGAGCGAGTAGATCTAGTTGTAGTAGTTACACAAGCGTGAGTACATCTACTTGTAGTAGTTAAACTTGAGTGAGTAGATATAGAAGTAGTAGTTACACAGACGTGAGTAGATCTATTTCTAGTAGTTACACAGACGTGAGTAGATCTACTTGTAGTAGTTGGCCTTTTTGAACCTGGTGGTCTATGGGGCAGATGAATTTGTTTACCTGTTTTTGTGATATCGGCATATGAAGAGATAGTGTGTTTAGCACTATGCCCAGCCTCCTTTACTTTCCCTAACGTAAGTTAGGTACCCAAATGAGCTGGACGTACTCACGGACGTCCTACAGAATCAAGTCCTAAATATCCGGCTTACCTCATTATGTAAGTAGGTCGCCACGTGCACGGCGTCCGTCACACGTGACATGCTCCCATTCTTTTTCTCGTTGGTTTTGCCATCTTTGTCAGGTTCTGTTTTCTCTAGAACACAAAGCTCATGTTTAATTTATGGTTATCTCATTGTTAAACTGACCGATTTAAACAAATACAAGCCCTTTAACCAACCAGTGTGTTTGCCGATGAATGCATATTCTAAATGATCAACTGGGTTTTTATTTAAAATATCTGAATATTATTATATTAATTTCAGTATGTAAGCAAGTTTTCATGCGGTTAACAAAAAAATGAATCAAAATGTTTATTATTTCTGCTTTGTATGAAGTGAAGGAGATTTTTTAAAACTGTTTCTCGATTGGTTTATAATTTAGGTATTCGCCGCATAATATAGAAGAAGATATGAATTGCACAGTGTTACTACTCATGAAAAGCCACCCCCTCCCCCTCCAAAAAAATCTACTAAAGCATTGCGAAATGACTGTGACGGTAACACATTCTTCTAATGAATTCTGGCATTGATATGGCCTCTGTCAGGGAAAGACTAGAATTAAGATTAGAATTAAGTGCAATTATTCGAAGCTGAGGTTCGCGAAACAAAAATCTTTGTTACACCCTGCTTGCCATCATAGAAGTACCCCCCTCCCTAAAATTTTACTCAATTTGATCTATTTCGATTAGAAGTTTTAAAAACAAAACCTACTCGGCCGAAACACGAAAAGCTCAGCCAGTTCTATGACGGGGTACATCTGTAAGGGAAAAGTCAACAAGACCCCTAAACACAGGAAAATGTTTATGGCCAGCCCCACTGTTGTGGACGTTGGGATGTTTTTATTCAGCATCTGTTCTGTGCTGTCACCGTAACGCAGGTAGCCCACCACACCGAAAGTTGACAAAACAGCCGACAAGATCAACACGGCTCCGTGCAGATACATGGAAAAATTGTGTCGGTTTCCCTCCATGCTTGATTCGATGGGGGATAATCTGGAATAGAAATATGGAAAAATACAGTTACGTTTTTTTATATTAAGGGAATATGACGGAAGCAGGGCCGGCGCTACCTATAAGGCGAACTAGGCGGCCGCCTAGGGCGCTGTCCGGAGGGGGGGGCGCCAAAATGGCTTGGAAAAACAAATTGATAGTTTTGGGGGGGGGGTGCAAATCGAAAGTTTGTCCCAGGGCACCGGGGAGGGTCGCTACGCCTCTGATAATACGGGGGCACGAAAAAAATTGCGGTAGGGGCGCTTTTAATATGTTTTGCCTATGGCGCTAAATAACCTGGCGCCGGCAATGGACGGAAGACACCGTTTTTTCCCCAGGCATCTCTCCGGGGCACGTGCAACACCGCCCTTCTCACCCTCCCCCCCCCCTCCCACCTCCACCCCCACTCCCCAGATGAAATATAATCTTTTAAAACTATATTTAGAAAAGTAGCCAAAGTGCGCTCCCTCCCCCTTCCCCCACCCAGAAGATTCAAGTGCCACCTTCTGCCCCCTTGCATGAGAAAAATGTCTGTGAGAAAATCCTACGCGCATGTAATATGTCAGTAGGGTATTTCGATGGTTTAGTGGATGTCGTACGTCATAACTGACGTTAGCTCAGACTCTAGCTCAGACCTAAACTAATCTAACAGCGATATTGTCTGTTTGTTTTTTTTAAATAGAGTAAAAATATTTGAGAAAGAAAATAAAGAACGGGTTTCATAAAGAAAAGCATTTAAGCTGTTATGGGTCATCAAAAGTGATATGGCGCAATTTCAGCTGATCTGTATACTGTATTCTACCCCATCACACACGTAGTCATAAATGGCCAGACCCTCTCAGAACTGACTTCAAAAACCTGCCCCCCCCCCCCCCCCCAGCCCACCTCCATAAATAAAATGTCTAACGTTAAAATGGACTTTGTCGTATTCGAAAAGAAAACATTACTCATTTAGTTCAGCCATTACATATGACTCAAATTGGCCTCAAAAGTGTTAATTATACAATTTTTCGCTTTATAATTTTTCATTTTTATATCTCATAAAAAGTGACGAATTTATTCAAGCCACAAATGAGAGACAGAATACTGAATTATTGAACGTTTTTTTTCCCTAGCCATCGACTGAATGTGTTAGAGCACTCGCCATTGACACCAGATCTAGACCTAGTGGTGACGGAAGCGAGCTGAATAATTTCACTACCTAGTGAAGAACACTGAATAATTTTAAGCATACTTGACTTTGACATGAATTATTGACGAAATCGATGCTGTATAATTTAAACACCTACATCGGTA